GGTGCTCCACCGACTTCTTATTTTGTCTTGTAGCCAAATTAGGGCAACCTAGTATTCCTATAAATAGGGGTACACGCTATTATCCAGCGGATATTCCTTTTACCCAGCAGATATTCCACTGTTCTCTCAAAAACCCTAGATTTTGTAATCGTTTTTCCTGTTGATCCTTTGAGTTTTTGAATTTTATTTCTTCATCAAAGTTGTAGATCTCCTTCTCATCTATAACATACTTGCTTTTCAATGATTTCTGGGTTTGAAACATTTTCTGGGTTTATATGCATGATGTTCTTCAGTGTTCTTGAGTAGTGGATTAGGGTTCTTGAGGATGGGTTAGATTAGGTGTGGAATCCTTAGTATATTTAGGTGGTTAAGTGTAGAATTGCTTGATTTCCCTTCTGGTTTAGTAGATCTTAATGCTATTTCTTCTCTGATCAATTGGAAATAGATCTCAGACATTTCCACACCCACAAGGTGTTTGATGAAATGTCTGAACAAACTTTTCCAGAGATTTGCATACTCTAGCCCAAGAGATTGGATGTTTAGAATGCTTATTGACTATATTAGATTGAATCATAATGCCTGCTAGGTTATATTTCTTCAATGAGAATTGAGTATGAAAGTGATTTAGCTTGAGAATCTCTGTCACGAGAGTGGATTGATTTGTATTCGAATCTATTGTCTAGGGATAGCTTGATTGAGTTTGTTAACCACCTAGGTAGACTAAGGAGACTGCTATAATCGATTACCCCATTCCTCAGGACCCTTTTATCTCTATTGATTGTTTAAATCTCAGTTTCTGTTAGCTTTTGTGTTCTACTCGACCTGTTAGGCCTAGAGCGTTTCTCTGCATTGTTAGGTTGTTAGTTTCTTTTCCAAAGCTTATGCATGATAGTTTCTGGTCTTTAGTTTACTTCTTACTGCTTAGTTTTCTTTTTTATGCTTTTAAATTTGGTACTTGCACGTTAATTGGTTGATTAGGTTGAATAGAAACACACAAAACCTTTTCACAATTGGCTTGACTTATTTGCTTTATGTTTCATATCTTGAATGCTTGCAGTCACACTGAGATTGGATTGATAAACCTAATATACTACAATGGCATGTGTATTAGGAATTGATACTTGTTAGAGAGTAAAATCTTACTATCAATTTGGCGCCGTTGCCAGTCTTGTGTTGCATTGTTCCATTTAAGATTTCAGAAACGTTTAAGATCAAGTTCTTTCTTTACTTTGGTTACTAACTACTCTCTTCAGCTGCTTGTTTTTGTGCTCCAGGTACCAACTCGACCTCAAGTCGAGTCTACACGTCGAGACTAGCCACTTTGCATGCAAACTCGTTCTCAAGGCTCCAGCAACCTCATCAGCTACAAAGACAACATCAACCAGTTAGCCCGTGAGTTGAAAGAACGTAGAGCCAGAGACGGTTGTGAACTGCACAATCCAGTAGCCATGGAACCACAAGAACAAGACAATCAAGGAGTTGGGATACCAAGGAACATTGGTGCTGGGGATGCACCAAGAAACCATCAACAGAGACAGGGCATAGTTCCACCTCCTGTCCAGAACAACAATTTCGAGATCAAGAGTGGATTGATCTCAATGATACAAGGAAACAAGTTTCATGGGTTGCCTATGGAAGATCCCTTAGACCACTTGGATAACTTTGACAGGCTCTGCAGCCTCACCAAGATAAATGGTGTTAGTGAAGACGGTTTCAAGCTGCGTTTGTTTCCCTTCTCGCTGGGAGACAAAGCACACCACTGGGAGAAGACATTACCTGCTGGCTCCATCACATCTTGGGACGATTGCAAGAAGGCCTTCTTAACAAAGTTCTTCTCAAATTCAAGAACTGCACGTCTAAGGAATGAAATCTCCAGTTTCACCCAAAAGCAGTCTGAATCCATTTGTGAGGCCTGGGAGAGATTCAAAGGCTACACTATACAGTGTCCACACCATGGTTTCAAGAAGGCTTCACTACTCAGCACACTCTACAGGGGAGTTTTGCCCAAGATCAGAATGTTGCTAGACACTGCCTCTAATGGGAATTTCTTGAATAAGGATGTTGAGGAAGGCTGGGAATTGATAGAGAACTTAGCTCTATCCGATGGTAACTATAACGAGGATTTTGATCGCTCCAACAGAGGTATTGGAGATCCGGATGCGAAGCATAGTAAGGAGATGATTCAGGCTCTCAACGATAAGCTGGATAAATTTCTGCTTAGTCAACAGAAGCAAGTCCACTATATCACTGAAGAAGAGCACTATCAAATCCAAGAAGGGGAGAATACTCAGGCTGCAGAAGTCAGCTACATTCAGAACTAAGGTGGCTACAACAAGGGCTACAACCCCTACAAGCCTGCTCATCCTAATCTATCTTACCGGAGCACGAATGTTGCAAACCCTCAGGATCAGGTTTACCCTCAGCAACAATATATTATTATTAGTATCGATAGAATAGAGCTATTAATAGCTAAGATAGATAAGATAGAATAGCGGTGACAGGTTATGTATATCCATTCTATAGTTTTATTTTAATAGGTAAGATAGAATAGCGCTAACCGATTATCCATTCTATAGTGTTATTTTAATAGGTAAGATAGAATAGCGTTGACCGATTATCCATTAATCGTAAATTTTTAACCATAACCGTTTTAATGGATAATCGGTCACCGCTAATCGGTCACCGCTATTCTATCTTACCTATTAAAATGAAACTATAGAATGGATAATCGTTCAGCGCTATTCTATCTTACCTATTAATAGCTCTATTCTATCGATACTAATAATAAAATATAAAACTATAGAATGGATAATCGGTGACCGCTATTCTATCTTACCTATTAAAATGAAACTATGTCTCCAGAAAAAGGGACAATTTCTGAACCCTCCAGAAAAAGGAAAAATTTTTGAACCCTCCAGAGGGACAATTTCTGAACCCTCCAGAATAAATTTCTGGTCCCTCCAGAAAAAGAGACAATTTCTGAACCCTTCAGAATCAATTTCTGAACCCTCCAGAATCAATATTTATTTTAGAAGCCGAGAGACGATGAAGCGGGAATACAAAAGGACCACGACACATTGCTTTTTCCAACTCAATGAAACTCCTATTCCAATCAATCTCACTTACTTTGTAACCGTTTTTCACCAAAGACATAACCGTAACAAGCGTGGTAGCTTTGCCCACTTAAGTTTGTTCTTGCAGGTTTCAAACTGAAATGGTAGCTTTAGGTTGGTAGAGTTAAAAAGCATGAAAAGCTTCATGAATTTTTATTTTCTGGTCATTTGATCTTATAGTCTTATGCCATGTGTAGTATCATGATCATGTCTGTTTCTCACTGGATGATCCATTGGAATTTTGGTGACATCCTTCTAATATTGTTCAAGTGAGCTCTAATGGTTCAGTTGTAGGATTCAATAGTATTATTATACTTTTTCGAGCATCTGTTATATTTTGATTATTTCTTTTGATTGTATCAAACACTTGCTTCCTGGTCATTTTTCAAATACTGGCGTTCTTAATAGTAGGTGTTTGATTTAAGTTTTTCTGAAAGATTGATTTAAGTAGTTGTGCATGATTAATGTCTGGCAAGTTAGTAGATGATTTATGAGTAATCTAAGATATTTTACCTTGACTAGATTGATTATTGAAAAACAAAAATCCTTTACCAAAAATCCCTCACGAAGTAAAAAGTTAGTAAAAGAAGAATTATCGAATGAGGTACAACTTGCATACTGGGGATCAATTGACATTTAGAGATGGTGAAAACAATAATAAGGCATGTTCAATCTGAAAAGGGTGTCTTTCTTTCAAGAATTGACGATGAGAAGACACGTCGTAAAACAGCGAACGACGGGAAAATATACTTGGTTATTGTAAGACTTCAAATACACTTAACGTATAGCACACAATTATGTTATTACATACTTATAAAGCACTTTTGTATACTTGTGTTCTCTAATTCCACATGTGCAATTCAAAAATCCAACAATCTTACAAGAAAATTTTACTTTTGAAAAGAGACTAATAGTTTTCAATACACTTCCTTTAAAATAGTCGGCTCGAGTCAATTTTTCAACAAAGAAACATTTAGAGGCAAGGTTACTATAGAAGAAGAAAATATAGAAAACATTAATTACATCACTCAACTTGTGAGTTTCTCCTAACATGCATTATTGGTAGAGTCGATGGTGATGCCAAGGCCGATAAGTTCAATGAAATTCCTACGAAATACTTTAATAAAAAAAAACCTAGGAAATACAGTATTATGAGTTTTGCATACACGATTGGTTAAATGTTAATGTTAAAATATTCTTCTAAATAGTGAAAAAATTCAATATTTAATCATAGAATATTTTTTTGTCAATAATCGACAACCTTCTATAAATAATCCACCATAACTTTAAAAAATGTAGTGAAAAAATTAAAAAACCTATGGGAACATAATGTATTAAGGTTTTTAAAACTTTTATAAAAATACAACTTTGAAATTTCATTGTATAAAATTCTATTTAATTTTTAACACTATCTAAAATATTAATATATAGTTAGAAAAACAGAATACTATCTAAATTATTAATATATAATTTAAAAAACAGACCGCGCGTAGCGCGGTTATTTCCCTAGTTATATTGGAAAAAGAAATTGTTAATGTATATGCGAAATCTTTCCTATTAAAAAGAAAAAGAAAATCGAAAATTTGTTAAGTTTTATTATATTAATAAATCGAAAATATTTGTAAAGATTAAAAAAGTATTTATTCTAAAAATTTTGATTACAATATGAATTTGCCTAGGAATTGGAAAAAGGTATAAACCTAACCAAGACTCCGAAGCTCTTTTCTTCTTTTTTTTTCTTCACAAACTAAAACTTTCTCTTTTCTGCTCTACAAGCTTTTGGTCTCTTCTTCGTAGCTAAATCTTTTTCTCTGTTAAGTGTGAATCATAAATCTCCAGTAAATTCTCAAAATTTATTCATTTCAAGAGTCAAGAAGCAAACGAATTGAATTTCTTCTCTGTTCCTGCTTCTGGATTGAATTTCCTCCTGAGACGGAGGCGACGGCGTCACCGGAGCTGGGAACGAGCTAACCACCGTAGAAGGGGATTGGGATTCTAATTGCCGTTTCGAAATGGAAGACGGAGAAGGCATGGAGGCTGCAGCGGCGGAGCTTGAGAGACTCCAAATTGAAATCCTCCATAGAATCTCCGTTCTCGATAGCTCTTTTCTCCCTCAGAGTTCCACGGCGGCTCCGTCTCCTTCTCTACCGGTTGATGAAAGCGAAACGGTGGCTCGCCTCTCATCCATTCTCCGGCGTTAACGATTTCAGCTTCAAGAGAGATCGAATCCCGTCGTAATGTTCTCGGCGCTTACGAAGAAGGAGAAAAAGAAAAGAAGTTTTAACCATATAAAAAAAGAAAAAGAAGGAGAAAATCTTAACCGTTGGATTTAATTCACCAATGGTGGAGAATAAGCCAAAGTTCAATCTTGGTAGTTACTGCTTATTGGCTAATAACATGAACGGTTCAGATTAAATCAGCAAGACAGATCTAACAGCTCAGATTAATCGCGTCAACAAAAAAAGGGACGGCTCAGATTAAAGTCGGCGCGATCTAACGGCTCAGGGTTTGTCCCACATTGTGGGAGGTGAGTTCTCATTGGCTAGTAATGAAAAAATCATAAAATTATCATATAAAATTTTTATTAATGAAAAAAATATAAATTATTTCTTTAAAAATACAATATATGTATTTAAATTTTTAGAATTTTTTTTCTTATAAGTATAAAATTTTTAAATTAACAACAATTAATATAGGTTAGTATTCTAACTATCAAACTTATATGTTCATATACACTAGGGCATAGTTTAGGGTTTAGGGTTTAACTCGTTCAAATGGTACAACTAAGTAGATATAGTACAGTTTGAATTTCATGCATAATATTTTTAAGTAAAGAATATACTTAAATGGATACAGATACTTAGTCAAATTTCAAAATAACTTTAACTAGATTCAAATATTTACTATAATTTTTTATTTTTGGATTCTTCTACAATCTAAAAAAATGTTTCAATCTTAATGTTATTGGTTAAACAAATATTCTCACAATAAAATAAAAACAAATCTTACTATTAAATGAGAATGCGCTTAAGTGAGGCCGATGAATATCAGCCAATCGAAATGATGACGTAATTGATGACGTCAATGCCACATGTATTAACGTTATGTTTTAATTGGCTGATGAATCTGCTTTTTATTTTTATTTTTTTCTTTACTGACCCGTTTAACTATTTATAGAGTATGAAAAAACATGAATTTTGATATAAAATTTATATATATATATATATATATATATATATATATATATATATATATAATTCTAATTATTATGAAGTTAAATAATTGATATAAAAAAAATACAAAACATGACCGACCAATTAAATAATTCCACGTGTCCTCAAAAAACGATGCAAATAAAAAACATTTCCCTTAACAAAATATGCAATCGTCTGCTCTCTAAAGCTTCTCCAAATTGTTATAAACTCCGGGACAAGACCAAAAATTTAACAAAATAACAAGATTATGTCAAAAGAAACTGCTTCATCATATTCACTTCTTCTTCGACCTTTTAACCGGACGCTGACCAACAACACTCTCGTCGTCACTTATCATAATCATATCTACACACACACAATAGAGAATATCGATTTAGAATCTTAGCGTTTATATAAAAAAAAAACATACACACATATTCATACCTTGCATAGCATTTATAAGTGATAACGTATCTTCTATATACCTTATTTAGAGCCTTCGTGACTTGGTCTTGTGGCCACTAGGAGAGAATAGAACTGGTGGTATAACCACGCGTCCAGCTCGCGTTTTATAAACCCCAACCTTTTCCTGCTCAGGTTGTTCCTGAAAATTCAACTCCTTGAGTTGATCAACCAATACGTCCGGCTCATCCTCATCCTCATCCTGAACATTCAACTCCGGCTCATCCTCATCCTCATCCTCATCCTCATCCTCATCCTCATCCTCATCCTCATCCTCATCCTCATCCTGAACATTCAACTCCGGCTCATCCTCATCCTCATCCTCATCCTGAACATTCAACTCCTTATCAAACTCATCCTTATCCTGAACATTCAACTCCTTACCAAACTCATCCTTATCTCCCGTGTCCGGTTCATGCAGTGAATTGCTGAGCCTAGGCGAAGCCTCGAGCCCAAGCGAAACAGAAGTCTCGAGCCTGGGCGAAGCCTCGAGCCCAAGCGAAACAGAAGTCTCGAGCCTGGGCGAAGCATAGCCACCATCTTCTTGAGCTTTTTCTACCTCAATGAATCCACGCCTCCAATCTAGCTCAGTCCAGGGGTATCCTCCCTTCACCATCTTCATCATCATCTTAAAAGGATCATCATCTTCATAGTCTTCTTCATCAGAACCAAGAAAGCTGATTACCGAGGGACTCGTAGATTCTGCCACGCTCTCAATTTCATAATAACTAGGCTGCCTAGTAACCACGTACCTCTCACAAACAAAGCCCGAAGTATCTGATTCTGACTGAGCAAAAGCAGTTTCTAATGCTGGCACAGAAGCCAAAAAAAGACCATCCGGTATTTAGCCTATATTCATATCCGAACCAGAACCGTTTTTTTCGGTTATTCAGTTTCGGTTTTTTTGCCCAAGCCTACTTTATCTAATCCTAATTTCATATTATAATTTTAAAAAGAAAAAAAAAAAGTTAGTCTGACCAAAACTTTATCTAATCCAAATTTCATATTATAATTTTAAAAAGAAAAAAAAAAAGTTAGTCTGACCAAAACTCAAAATCTTTCCTTCCTCCCTCGAGACGCACAACAATCACATCCAATCTGACGAAAACTCTTCCACTCTCATCCAGCTTTTTTTTTTACTTCTTTTGCACAACTCTTCTTTCTCTTACTTCTTTCATCTTTCTTCTTCTTCTTCTTTCATGTCTCGATGGATTCTTCAGCGAAAGCTCTTCTTCTTTTTGTCATTCTTTTTGTTGTTTTTTTCTATTTTGCTTTGCAAAAGTCACTGCGTTCAAACCGTTCTTCACCAGCTCCTCCACCAGCACCAGCTTTCCGAGTTTCTTTAGAATCTCTTGAATCTCAAGACTCTCAAGTCTCTTTGGATTCGACGGATTCTCTAAACTCTGACGATGGCGACTCTCACTTTTCCGATTGTCTACTCGACTGGTAAGAGGATTTGTGCTCTTTTTTTTATATGAATATGAATATATTGCCTTTTAGGAAAAATTACATTAGATAGTTTTCTTTTCATGATTTGTGCTCTTTATTTATGAGGTTGTGGAATTTAGGGTTTTTTCAATTTGTTGGTGGTATAACCACGCGTCCAGCTCGCGTTTTATAAACCCCAACCTTTTCCTGCTCAGGTTGTTCCTGAAAATTCAACTCCTTGAGTTGATCAACCAATACGTCCGGCTCATCCTCATCCTCATCCTGAACATTCAACTCCGGCTCATCCTCATCCTCATCCTCATCCTCATCCTCATCCTCATCCTGAACATTCAACTCCGGCTCATCCTCATCCTCATCCTCATCCTGAACATTCAACTCCGGCTCATCCTCATCCTCATCCTCATCCTGAACATTCAACTCCTTATCAAACTCATCCTTATCCTGAACATTCAACTCCTTACCAAACTCATCCTTATCTCCCGTGTCCGGTTCATGCAGTGAATTGCTGAGCCTAGGCGAAGCCTCGAGCCCAAGCGAAACAGAAGTCTCGAGCCTGGGCGAAGCCTCGAGCCCAAGCGAAACAGAAGTCTCGAGCCTGGGCGAAGCATAGCCACCATCTTCTTGAGCTTTTTCTACCTCAATGAATCCACGCCTCCAATCTAGCTCAGTCCAGGGGTATCCTCCCTTCACCATCTTCATCATCATCTTAAAAGGATCATCATCTTCATAGTCTTCTTCATCAGAACCAAGAAAGCTGATTACCGAGGGACTCGTAGATTCTGCCACGCTCTCAATTTCATAATAACTAGGCTGCCTAGTAACCACGTACCTCTCACAAACAAAGCCTGAAGTATCTGATTCTGACTGAGCAAAAGCAGTTTCTAATGCTGGCACAGAAGCCAAAAAAAGACCATCCGGTATTTAGCCTATATTCATATCCGAACCAGAACCGTTTTTTTCGGTTATTCAGTTTCGGTTTTTTTGCCCAAGCCTACTTTATCTAATCCTAATTTCATATTATAATTTTAAAAAGAAAAAAAAAAAGTTAGTCTGACCAAAACTTTATCTAATCCAAATTTCATATTATAATTTTAAAAAGAAAAAAAAAAAGTTAGTCTGACCAAAACTCAAAATCTTTCCTTCCTCCCTCGAGACGCACAACAATCACATCCAATCTGACGAAAACTCTTCCACTCTCATCCAGCTTTTTTTTTTACTTCTTTCGCACAACTCTTCTTTCTCTTACTTCTTTCATCTTTCTTCTTCTTCTTCTTTCATGTCTCGATGGATTCTTCAGCGAAAGCTCTTCTTCTTTTTGTCATTCTTTTTGTTGTTTTTTTCTATTTTGCTTTGCAAAAGTCACTGCGTTCAAACCGTTCTTCACCAGCTCCTCCACCAGCACCAGCTTTCCGAGTTTCTTTAGAATCTCTTGAATCTCAAGACTCTCAAGTCTCTTTGGATTCGACGGATTCTCTAAACTCTGACGATGGCGACTCTCACTTTTCCGATTGTCTACTCGACTGGTAAGAGGATTTGTGCTCTTTTTTTTATATGAATATGAATATATTGCCTTTTAGGAAAAATTACATTAGATAGTTTTCTTTTCATGATTTGTGCTCTTTATTTATGAGGTTGTGGAATTTAGGGTTTTTTCAATTTGTTGGTGGTATAACCACGCGTCCAGCTCGCGTTTTATAAACCCCAACCTTTTCCTGCTCAGGTTGTTCCTGAAAATTCAACTCCTTGAGTTGATCAACCAATACGTCCGGCTCATCCTCATCCTCATCCTGAACATTCAACTCCGGCTCATCCTCATCCTCATCCTCATCCTCATCCTGAACATTCAACTCCGACTCATCCTCATCCTCATCCTCATCCTGAACATTCAACTCCTTATCAAACTCATCCTTATCCTGAACATTCAACTCCTTACCAAACTCATCCTTATCTCCCGTGTCCGGTTCATGCAGTGAATTGCTGAGCCTAGGCGAAGCCTCGAGCCCAAGCGAAACAGAAGTCTCGAGCCTGGGCGAAGCCTCGAGCCCAAGCGAAACAGAAGTCTCGAGCCTGGGCGAAGCATAGCCACCATCTTCTTGAGCTTTTTCTACCTCAATGAATCCACGCCTCCAATCTAGCTCAGTCCAGGGGTATCCTCCCTTCACCATCTTCATCATCATCTTAAAAGGATCATCATCTTCATAGTCTTCTTCATCAGAACCAAGAAAGCTGATTACCGAGGGACTCGTAGATTCTGCCACGCTCTCAATTTCATAATAACTAGGCTGCCTAGTAACCACGTACCTCTCACAAACAAAGCCTGAAGTATCTGATTCTGACTGAGCAAAAGCAGTTTCTAATGCTGGCACAGAAGCCAACATCCACAACTGTAATGCCATCGGAAAACCTTTAAGGTCTTTCTTTGACGAACCAGTTTGCAATTTACCAGTAAGTTTGTGTACAGAATCTACGAGTAAGTCAAACGCCAATTTACCCCAAGGATATGTGTGCATTTTATTTTTCCCTCTCTCCAACATCTCTGCCGTAAAGTACATACTTGGCTTGTTAAGGGCATACTTCAACAAGAATATTGACTCGAGAAGAAGCAACATAGCAAGCCTAAGTTTGCTTTCCTCATCATCATTTCCCAAAGCACGTAATTGAGCTAGCAAATCTTCCGGAGTGTGCTCTTTGGTTACCATAGGCCAATTGATGTTTTCTTCTACTTGGATTTTATCTTCCGCATAGCAAGGAAGTCCGGTGACAAGATGAAATTCACGCAAAGTGAATCGCATCGGTTGGTTGTTAAAATAAAACCACAGCTCATCTTTCTTTGTCGTAGTGATCTGTCTAACTACAAGATAACGAACCAACGATGCCGAGAATCCCAATCCGTCTCCCATTTGTTTACCGCCTCCTCGCCTTAAGCCCGCTTTTATTATCGGCCCTAGGAAAGTACTTTTCAACTTGTTGAACAACGGCTCGGAGAGAATGTCTTTAACTAGCTTCACGTACTTAAACGTCGAGTGATTGTTAATTGATGAAGCGCCTCTGCTTTCTTCTCCTATCTTGAATAGAGTAGAAGGCAAAGGAATCGAAGTTTGACTGGACGAGGCAATAATACTGTGTTAAGCGTCCATTATGTAAAAACCTGCAATTAAACAGAGGAAAGCTCCTTATTGAGAATTCTAACTTGCAAATCATACATAAATCAGTATCCAAACAGATTCAGCTGATGGATATAGACAAAATAAATGCATGTAAGCAGTGATAAAACGATTTAAGCTAGCAATTCTCTAATTAACCCACACGAGCAAAAACGAACAAACACATTCCTTGTCACTAAAATCGAAGACATCAATGAAACCATTCAGAAGTAGCGATAAATATATAACAATTTGGCTTAATTTCTATCAGAATAAATGCATGTAATCGTTTCCTGTGTTAAAACCAAAGAGAGCGTAAGCAAAATAATTGCTTAGTGAGTGCGCTTAAGCCGCTCACCGAGCCAAGTATATAAATCGCATCAAGCCACAGATCAATCAATAAGATCACAAGACATGACTCGGCAAGCCTAATTACCCGGGTTAATCCGGATCAATCATAAAGCCGAGTAGCAGATCAATGAATAGAAGTTAAGCAATCAATTAAATAAACCTATGCGAGCATCGATCTAACTGAGAATCGGTTAGGAGGACACTCACCTTCGAGTTTAGGGTTAGTTTTCCTGACACCTCTTGAGCACAGTTCCCTCGTATCGATCCTTCCAGCGGTCCACGATCCGCACAGAGCGTATCGCCTAGTCAAACCTAAGTAGCAGGTGAAAAAGAAGGGACAGTTCCCTCGTATCGATCTTTCGTTGTTGTTCTTCTTTGTCACTCGTCACCGTCAAAGCCAAAAAGACAAAAAAAAACCTAAATGTTTTCTATTAGGTTTGTAATTGTGGATCTGGGCTTTACTTTGACCCAAAAAAACATTTGGGTTTTTTAAATTAAAACGTTTTAGCTTTTGTGAAGGCCAAAACCATTTTTGGGCTTTTAAAAACTTAGCCCAGCAAGAAAAATAATCGAATCTAACCAATTCGGTTAACCGAGGAAAAAAATTCTAAAAAGTTTCGGTTTAAATCGTTAGATTTTTGATAACCGACTACCAAACCGAATGTTTATTCGGTTCCATTCGGCGTGATTTGAAATAAACCAAATTGAACCCAATTTTAGACTCTTTATCTGGGCATCCGGTTCGGCGGTTCGGTTTTTAACTGAAACCGTTCGGTTTCGGTTTTTCGGTTCAGAGAATTTATTATCCACACGGTTTTTTTCACATTGCGGTTCGGTTTCGGTTCGAACCGTGTCGGTTCCGGTTCGGTTCGGTTCTAACATTAGAGAAACCAGAAATTTCCTGATAAAATCGGTTTCTAAACGGATTCGGTTATTTTCTAACCGAATTCAACAAAATTATCCGAATAAGTGTGAAATTACCCGAATAAAACCAAAAATAACCAAATTTATTAAAAAACTTAGACAAAACCAAGTTCAAATGTTCAAACTTCAAACCATAGCCGAATGAGAAAACCAAAATCAAAGCACCAAAGAGCAACAAAGACCATGTTCACAAATAACAGAAACAAAAAAAAACAAATGCATAAGGTAAGAAGACTAAGAAGAAACATTAGGTTTATATATTTCGGTTCGCTATTCGGTTCCGGTTACTAACCGAATCCGAACCGAGAACCATGGTTTCCAAAAAAAAAGACCATCCGGTATTTAGCCTATATTCATATCCGAACCAGAACCGTTTTTTTCGGTTATTCAGTTTCGGTTTTTTTGCCCAGGCCTACTTTATCTAATCCTAATTTCATATTATAATTTTAAAAAGAAAAAAAAAAAGTTAGTCTGACCAAAACTTTATCTAATCCAAATTTCATATTATAATTTTAAAAAGAAAAAAAAAAGTTAGTCTGACCAAAACTCAAAATCTTTCCTTCCTCCCTCGAGACGCACAACAATCACATCCAATCTGACGAAAACTCTTCCACTCTCATCCAGCTTTTTTTTTTACTTCTTTCGCACAACTCTTCTTTCTCTTACTTCTTTCATCTTTCTTCTTCTTCTTCTTTCATGTCTCGATGGATTCTTCAGCGAAAGCTCTTCTTCTTTTTGTCATTCTTTTTGTTGTTTTTTTCTATTTTGCTTTGCAAAAGTCACTGCGTTCAAACCGTTCTTCACCAGCTCCTCCACCAGCACCAGCTTTCCGAGTTTCTTTAGAATCTCTTGAATCTCAAGACTCTCAAGTCTCTTTGGATTCGACGGATTCTCTAAACTCTGACGATGGCGACTCTCACTTTTCCGATTGTCTACTCGACTGGTAAGAGGATTTGTGCTCTTTTTTTTATATGAATATGAATATATTGCCTTTTAGGAAAAATTACATTAGATAGTTTTCTTTTCATGATTTGTGCTCTTTATTTATGAGGTTGTGGAATTTAGGGTTTTTTCAATTTGTTGGTGGTATAACCACGCGTCCAGCTCGCGTTTTATAAACCCCAACCTTTTCCTACTCAGGCTGTTCCTGAAAATTCAACTCCTTGAGTTGATCAACCAATACGTCCGGCTCATCCTCATCCTCATCCTGAACATTCAACTCCGGCTCATCCTCATCCTCATCCTCATCCTCATCCTCATCCTCATCCTGAACATTCAACTCCGGCTCATCCTCATCCTCATCCTCATCCTGAACATTCAACTCCTTATCAAACTCATCCTTATCCTGAACATTCAACTCCTTACCAAACTCATCCTTATCTCCCGTGTCCGGTTCATGCAGTGAATTGCTGAGCCTAGGCGAAGCCTCGAGCCCAAGCGAAACAGAAGTCTCGAGCCTGGGCGAAGCCTCGAGCCCAAGCGAAACAGAAGTCTCGAGCCTGGGCGAAGCATAGCCACCATCTTCTTGAGCTTTTTCTACCTCAATGAATCCACGCCTCCAATCTAGCTCAGTCCAGGGGTATCCTCCCTTCACCATCTTCATCATCATCTTAAAAGGATCATCATCTTCATAGTCTTCTTCATCAGAACCAAGAAAGCTGATTACCGAGGGACTCGTAGATTCTGCCACGCTCTCAATTTCATAATAACTAGGCTGCCTAGTAACCACGTACCTCTCACAAACAAAGCCTGAAGTATCTGATTCTGACTGAGCAAAAGCAGTTTCTAATGCTGGCACAAAAGCCAACATCCACAACTGTAATGCCATCGGAAAACCTTTAAGGTCTTTCTTTGACGAACCAGTTTTCAATTTACCAGTAAGTTTGTGTACAGAATCTACGAGTAAGTCAAATGCCAATTTACCCCAAGGATACGTGTGCATTTTATTTTTCCCTCTCTCCAACATCTCTGCCGTAAAGTACATACTTGGCTTGTTAAGGGCATACTTCAACAAGAATATTGACTCGAGAAGAAGCAACATAGCAAGCCTAAGTTTGCTTTCCTCATCATCATTTCCCAAAGCACGTAACTGAGCTAGCAAATCTTCCGGAGTGTGCTCTTTGGTTACCATAGGCCAATTGATGTTTTCTTCTACTTGGATTTTATCTTCCGCATAGCAAGGAAGTCCGGTGACAAGATGAAATTCACGCAAAGTGAATCACATCGGTTGGTTGTTAAAATAAAACCACAGCTCATCTTTCTTTGTCGTAGTGATCTGTCTAACTACAAGATAACGAACCAACGATGCCGAGAATCCCAATCCGTCTCCCATTTGTTTACCGCCTCCTCGCCTTAAGCCCGCTTTTATTATCGGCCCTAGGAAAGTACTTTTCAACTTGTTGAACAACGGCTCGGAGAGAATGTCTTTAACTAGCTTCACGTACTTAAACGTCGAGTGATTGTTAATTGATGAAGCGCCTCTGCTTTCTTCTCCTATCTTGAATAGAGTAGAAGGCAAAGGAATCGAAGTTTGACTGGACGAGGCAATAATACTGTGTTCAGCGTCCATTATGTAAAAACCTGCAATTAAACAGAGGAAAGCTCCTTATTGAGAATTCTAACTTGCAAATCATACATAAATCAGTATCCAAACAGATTCAGCTGATGGATATAGACAAAATAAATGCATGTAAGCAGTGATAAAACGATTTAAGCTAGCAATTCTCTAATTAACCCACACGAGCAAAAACGAACAAACACATTCCTTGTCACTAAAATCGAAGACATCAATGAAACCATTCAGAAGTAGCGATAAATATATAACAATTTGGCTTAATTTCTATCAGAATAAATGCATGTAATCGTTTCCTATGTTAAAACCAAAGAGAGCGTAAGCAAAATAATTGCTTAGTGAGTGCGCTTAAGCCGCTCACCGAGCCAAGTATATAAATCGCATCAAGCCACAGATCAATCAATAAGATCACAAGACATGACTCGGCAAGCCTAATTACCCGGGTTAATCCGGATCAATCATAAAGCCGAGTAGCAGATCAATGAATAGAAGTCAAGCAATCAATTAAATAAACCTATGCGAGCATCGATCTAACTGAGACTCGGATAGGAGGACACTCACCTTCGAGTTTAGGGTTAGTTTTCCTGACACCTCTTGAGCACAGTTCCCTCGTATCGATCCTTCCAGCGGTCCACGATCCGCACAGAGCGTATCGCCTAGTCAAACCTAAGTAGCAGGTGAAAAAGAAGGGACAGTTCCCTCGTATCGATCTTTCGTTGTTGTTCTTCTTTGTCACTCGTCACCGTCAAAGCCAAAAAGACAAAAAAAAACCTAAATGTTTTCTATTAGGTTTGTAATTGTGGATCTGGGCTTTACTTTGACCCAAAAAAACATTTGGGTTTTTTAAATTAAAACGTTTTAGCTTTTGTGAAGGCCAAAACCATTTTTGGGCTTTTAAAAACTTAGCCCAGCAAGAAAAATAATCGAATCTAACCAATTCGGTTAACCGAGGAAAAAAATTCTAAAAAGTTTCGGTTTAAATCGTTAGATTTTTGATAACCGACTACCAAACCGAATGTTTATTCGGTTCCATTCGGCGTGATTTGAAATAAACCAAATTGAACCCAATTTTAGACTCTTTATCTGGGCATCCGGTTCGGCGGTTCGGTTTTTAACTGAAACCGTTCGGTTTCGGTTTTTCGGTTCAGAGAATTTATTATCCACACGGTTTTTTTCACATTGCGGTTCGGTTTCGGTTCGAACCGTGTCGGTTCCGGTTCGGTTCGGTTCTAACATTAGAGAAACCAGAAATTTCCTGATAAAATCGGTTTCTAAACGGATTCGGTTATTTTCTAACCGAATTCAACAAAATTATCCGAATAAGTGTGAAATTACCCGAATAAAACCAAAAATAACCAAATTTATTAAAAAAACTTAGACAAAACCAAGTTCAAATGTTCAAACTTCAAACCATAGCTGAATGAGAAAACCAAAATCAAAGCACCAAAGAGCAACAAAGACCATGTTCACAAATAACAGAAACAAAAAAAACCAAATGCATAAGGTAAGAAGACTAAGAAGAAACATTAGGTTTATATATTTCGGTTCGCTATTCGGTTCCGGTTACTAACCGAATCCGAACCGAGAACCATGGTTTCCAAAAAAAAAGACCATCCGGTATTTAGCCTATATTCATATCCGAACCAGAACCGTTTTTTTCGGTTATTCAGTTTCGGTTTTTTTGCCCAAGCCTACTTTATCTAATCCTAATTTCATATTATAATTTTAAAAAGAAAAAAAAAAGTTAGTCTGACCAAAACTTTATCTAATCCAAATTTCATATTATAATTTTAAAAAGAAAAAAAAAAAGTTAGTCTGACCAAAACTCAAAATCTTTCCTTCCTCCCTCGAGACGCACAACAATCACATCCAATCTGACGAAAACTCTTCCACTCTCATCCAGCTTTTTTTTTTACTTCTTCCGCACAACTCTTCTTTCTCTTACTTCTTTCATCTTTCTTCTTCTTCTTCTTTCATGTCTCGATGGATTCTTCAGCGAAAGCTCTTCTTCTTTTTGTCATTCTTTTTGTTGTTTTTTTCTATTTTGCTTTGCAAAAGTCACTGCGTTCAAACCGTTCTTCACCAGCTCCTCCACCAGCACCAGCTTTCCGAGTTTCTTTAGAATCTCTTGAATCTCAAGACTCTCAAGTCTCTTTGGATTCGACGGATTCTCTAAACTCTGACGATGGCGACTCTCACTTTTCCGATTGTCTACTCGACTGGTAAGAGGATTTGTGCTCTTTTTTTTATATGAATATGAATATATTGCCTTTTAGGAAAAATTACATTAGATAGTTTTCTTTTCATGATTTGTGCTCTTTATTTATGAGGTTGTGGAATTTAGGGTTTTTTCAATTTGTTGGTGGTATAACCACGCGTCCAGCTCGTGTTTTATAAACCCCAACCTTTTCCTGCTCAGGTTGTTCCTGAAAATTCAACTCCTTGAGTTGATCAACCAATACGTCCGGCTCATCCTCATCCTCATCCTGAACATTCAACTCCGGCTCATCCTCATCCTCATCCTCATCCTCATCCTGAACATTCAACTCCGGCTCATCCTCATCCTCATCCTCATCCTGAACATTCAACTCCTTATCAAACTCATCCTTATCCTGAACATTCAACTCCTTACCAAACTCATCCTTATCTCCCGTGTCCGGTTCATGCAGTGAATTGCTGAGCCTAGGCGAAGCCTCGAGCCCAAGCGAAACAGAAGTCTCGAGCCTGGGCGAAGCCTCGAGCCCAAGCGAAACAGAAGTCTCGAGCCTGGGCGAAGCATAGCCACCATCTTCTTGAGCTTTTTCTACCTCAATGAATCCACGCCTCCAATCTAGCTCAGTCCAGGGGTATCCTCCCTTCACCATCTTCATCATCATCTTAAAAGGATCATCATCTTCATAGTCTTCTTCATCAGAACCAAGAAAGCTGATTACCGAGGGACTCGTAGATTCTGCCACGCTCTCAATTTCATAATAACTAGGCTGCCTAGTAACCACGTACCTCTCACAAACAAAGCCTGAAGTATCTGATTCTGACTGAGCAAAAGCAGTTTCTAATGCTGGCACAGAAGCCAACATCCACAACTGTAATGCCATCGGAAAACCTTTAAGGTCTTTCTTTGACGAACCAGTTTGCAATTTACCAGTAAGTTTGTGTACAGAATCTACGAGTAAGTCAAACGCCAATTTACCCCAAGGATACGTGTGCATTTTATTTTTCCCTCTCTCCAACATCTCTGCCGTAAAGTACATACTTGGCTTGTTAAGGGCATACTTCAACAAGAATATTGACTCGAGAAGAAGCAACATAGCAAGCCTAAGTTTGCTTTCCTCATCATCATTTCCCAAAGCACGTAACTGAGCTAGCAAATCTTCCGGAGTGTGCTCTTTGGTTACCATAGGCCAATTGATGTTTTCTTCTACTTGGATTTTATCTTCCGCATAGCAAGGAAGTCCGGTGACAAGATGAAATTCACGCAAAGTGAATCGCATCGGTTGGTTGTTAAAATAAAACCACAGATCATCTTTCTTTGTCGTAGTGATCTGTCTAACTACAAGATAACGAACCAACGATGCCGAGAATCCCAATCCGTCTCCCATTTGTTTACCGCCTCCTCGCCTTAAGCCCGCTTTTATTATCGGCCCTAGGAAAGTACTTTTCAACTTGTTGAACAACGGCTCGGAGAGAATGTCTTTAACTAGCTTCACGTACTTAAACGTCGAGTGATTGTTAATTGATGAAGCGCCTCTGCTTTCTTCTCCTATCTTGAATAGAGTAGAAGGCAAAGGAATCGAAGTTTGACTGGACGAGGCAATAATACTGTGTTAAGCGTCCATTATGTAAAAACCTGCAATTAAACAGAGGAAAGCTCCTTATTGAGAATTCTAACTTGCAAATCATACATAAATCAGTATCCAAACAGATTCAGCTGATGGATATAGACAAAATAAATGCATGTAAGCAGTGATAAAACGATTTAAGCTAGCAATTCTCTAATTAACCCACACGAGCAAAAACGAACAAACACATTCCTTGTCACTAAAATCGAAGACATCAATGAAACCATTCAGAAGTAGCGATAAATATATAACAATTTGGCTTAATTTCTATCAGAATAAATGCATGTAATCGTTTCCTGTGTTAAAACCAAAGAGAGCGTAAGCAAAATAATTGCTTAGTGAGTGCGCTTAAGCCGCTCACCGAGCCAAGTATATAAATCGCATCAAGCCACAGATCAATCAATAAGATCACAAGACATGACTCGGCAAGCCTAATTACCCGGGTTAATCCGGATCAATCATAAAGCCGAGTAGCAGATCAATGAATAGAAGTTAAGCAATCAATTAAATAAACCTATGCGAGCATCGATCTAACTGAGAATCGGTTAGGAGGACACTCACCTTCGAGTTTAGGGTTAGTTTTCCTGACACCTCTTGAGCACAGTTCCCTCGTATCGATCCTTCCAGCGGTCCACGATCCGCACAGAGCGTATCGCCTAGTCAAACCTAAGTAGCAGGTGAAAAAGAAGGGACAGTTCCCTCGTATCGATCTTTCGTTGTTGTTCTTCTTTGTCACTCGTCACCGTCAAAGCCAAAAAGACAAAAAAAAACCTAAATGTTTTCTATTAGGTTTGTAATTGTGGATCTGGGCTTTACTTTGACCCAAAAAAACATTTGGGTTTTTTAAATTAAAACGTTTTAGCTTTTGTGAAGGCCAAAACCATTTTTGGGCTTTTAAAAACTTAGCCCAGCAAGAAAAATAATCGAATCTAACCAATTCGGTTAACCGAGGAAAAAAATTCTAAAAAGTTTCGGTTTAAATCGTTAGATTTTTGATAACCGACTACCAAACCGAATGTTTATTCGGTTCCATTCGGCGTGATTTGAAATAAACCAAATTGAACCCAATTTTAGACTCTTTATCTGGGCATCCGGTTCGGCGGTTCGGTTTTTAACTGAAACCGTTCGGTTTCGGTTTTTCGATTCAGAGAATTTATTATCCACACGGTTTTTTTCACATTGCGGTTCGGTTTCGGTTCGAACCGTGTCGGTTCCGGTTCGGTTCGGTTCTAACATTAGAGAAACCAGAAATTTCCTGATAAAATCGGTTTCTAAACGGATTCGGTTATTTTCTAACCGAATTCAACAAAATTATCCGAATAAGTGTGAAATTACCCGAATAAAACCAAAAATAACCAAATTTATTAAAAAACTTAGACAAAACCAAGTTCAAATGTTCAAACTTCAAACCATAGCCGAATGAGAAAACCAAAATCAAAGCACCAAAGAGCAACAAAGACCATGTTCACAAATAACAGAAACAAAAAAAACCAAATGCATAAGGTAAGAAGACTAAGAAGAAACATTAGGTTTATATATTTCGGTTCGCTATTCGGTTCCGGTTACTAACCGAATCCGAACCGAGAACCATGGTTTCCAAAAAAAAAGACCATCCGGTATTTAGCCTATATTCATATCCGAACCAGAACCGTTTTTTTCGGTTATTCAGTTTCGGTTTTTTTGCCCAGGCCTACTTTATCTAATCCTAATTTCATATTATAATTTTAAAAAGAAAAAAAAAAGTTAGTCTGACCAAAACTTTATCTAATCCAAATTTCATATTATAATTTTAAAAAGAAAAAAAAAAAGTTAGTCTGACCAAAACTCAAAATCTTTCCTTCCTCCCTCGAGACGCACAACAATCACATCCAATCTGACGAAAACTCTTCCACTCTCATCCAGCTTTTTTTTTTACTTCTTTTGCACAACTCTTCTTTCTCTTACTTCTTTCATCTTTCTTCTTCTTCTTCTTTCATGTCTCGATGGATTCTTCAGCGAAAGCTCTTCTTCTTTTTGTCATTCTTTTTGTTGTTTTTTTCTATTTTGCTTTGCAAAAGTCACTGCGTTCAAACCGTTCTTCACCAGCTCCTCCACCAGCACCAGCTTTCCGAGTTTCTTTAGAATCTCTTGAATCTCAAGACTCTCAAGTCTCTTTGGATTCGACGGATTCTCTAAACTCTGACGATGGCGACTCTCACTTTTCCGATTGTCTACTCGACTGGTAAGAGGATTTGTGCTCTTTTTTTTATATGAATATGAATATATTGCCTTTTAGGAAAAATTACATTAGATAGTTTTCTTTTCATGATTTGTGCTCTTTATTTATGAGGTTGTGGAATTTAGGGTTTTTTCAATTTGTTGTGCAAAAAAAGCTTGAAACTTCGTTTGGCTCTTGAGTTCCTTTGTATTAAGGATGTGTTCTTGCAATAGTGTGACCAAACCATATTCTCAACACTTATTCACACATTCATAGAACGTTTGGCTATTGATAGAGGTTGTGATATCATGTTCCTGAACGTTTGGCTATTGATAGAGGTTGTGATATCATGTTCCTTTTACGTAGGGAGGATGATTACAACAAAGAAATTGAAGAGAAAAGTAAATTAGAAGAAATTTTTTCTTCTAATAAATTCCCAATGATGTCTTCTCATAGATCACCCATGATTGAGACCTCGACGTATACACATGAAATTAGCCTCTATGATGGTCCAAAGCTTGTAAGCATGGTGAAATCCCCCGTCTTTAATGAAATCGAAGATCCTGACCCTCACCTTGTGTTATCCAGGTACCTTATATCGATAAAACTTTCTCGTTTTTTCTATAATACAATTTGTGATATCATGTTCCTTTTACGTAGGGAGGATGATTACAACAAAGAAATTGAAGAGAAAAGTAAATTAGAAGAAAATTTGTCTTCTAATAAATTCCCAATGATGTCTTCTCCTAGATCACCCATGATTGACTTTCATTTTCCACATTTATGTTTGTTTTTCAACAAACGATCAATTGTGAAAGTTTAAATTTTTGTGTATAGGGAGGCTGAGTACGAGAAGGAGGTAGCAAATTACTTAGATGTAGTTCTTGAGGAGGCTATGCTTGAGATGACTGAGCACGTGGTTTTGGAGGTGACTGAGCACGGCGAGGCTGAGCAAGATATCTGTAAGACATATGGATTTGATCCTCAAAGTTCTCCAATGCTGCCAAGGTGAGTCACTGATTCGGATGGTAATTCTGAGCCAAAGATTGTACCTTATATCGATAAAACTTTCTCGTTTTTTCTATAATACAATTTGAGGCTAATTTCTTTCTTTTGTTTTATATCTTTTGCTTTTGAAAAAGGTATGTGCTGCAATGAACTGATCGTTTTGTTGCCTAAGGTTTGGTGGGAATGAAGCTAATGGTCCTTTTTGTTAGTGCTCGTTTTGTTGCATCACTGACTCTGATGATCCTCCTTCGTCAATTTTTGGTAGACCATAGTAGAAGCTTCTTTTTGGTGTTGGGAAGGTTCTGTAATGGTCTCTTTGGATATTGATAATGGGATGTCCTCGTTTTAATATAGCTGTTAACATTTTAGTGATGTAGCTTAAGAGAACAAGTTTAGTAAAAAATAAATGAATGAACTGAAACCCTAAATATTAATATGAGTTTTTTTATACCTTTCTTTTAAAATTCTTTTGTGCATCCGTAAGGTCCTATTGTTAAATTTCCTGAATTTTTAGGTAAACCAAGTATTCTCAGCAAATATAGAGAGTAAAAAAAAAAAAAATCCCGTAAAGTCCTTTTTATTTTTATTTTATTTACGACCAATAAAATAACAAGTAAATTTTTAAAATCCAATAAAAACCAAACGGTGTTACAGTATTAAATTAAACTGAATAACTTTTATAGTTGTAACCGAAAGGCGAAAGGGTTTTTAATCAAAACCAAATTACTTGTTTACAGTTCGGTCTTTCTGGTTACTATTTTCCTTGCTTTTTTTTACACCCAAATTCGGCTGCTGTTTTTGACACACGGCCCAAAAAGCAAAACCCGGTTTTGTCCGAGCTGTATAAAATAAAATAAATATTTAAAATGACGTCAGTGAAAAGTCCTTTCACAACCACATCATAAAATAAATATTTAAAATGACGTCAGTGAAAAGTCCTTTCACAACCACATCAATGACGTCATCATAAAAAACCCATTCTTCTTCTTCAGTAAGCTTTTCTTCTCCCGCCATTCTCAGTACCCGAAACTTTTTTTCATCACTCCCTAATTTAATCACTGGTTCCCCCAAAATTTTCTCAGTAATTGTTCAGCTTACTAATCATTTCACACTGAAATCGACTCGTCGGCCTTGTTTTTTCTTCAAAATCGCCATCGACACAGAGAAATTGTCGCTGATCGGTGAAATAGAAAAAAGGAATAAACAGACCAAATAGGGAGTGTAAGAAAATGTAATAAATTGAAGAAGTTTTTATAATATAATAGACCCATCTTATAAAAATAATATAAAAGCTTATACATATAAAAAAGGTATGTAATTATTTTGAAAATTGAGACATCTCTCTGAGTTCCCTGGTATATGAAAAGACGAATGGTTGTCTTCACAGAATAAATCCTTAGCAAAAGGTGAAATTGCTTCCATTTGTGAGAAACCCAAGCTTCGTGATCTCCGATTTCCCTTCAGGTGCGTAGAATTTCACAAGCCTTAGTTTGAGTCTTTTCGCAATGTTCCAATCTCTGCTTCTATCGCTAAGAAGGTTTTATCTTTTCTTTTTAGATAGTGTCGTTTGATATCGAACCTTCAATCTTTGCTTTTGTCGTTTCCTCCTGGAAGACTCGTGTTTCTCTTGGTTATGAGTCATTCTCTTGGTTACTCATTTCTTTCATGGTACTTTCGAAATGCAGGGTTTTGCATGATTATTTGGTACAAAATTAACATGCTAATGGTTTGTACTTTGTATAGTGAGCTCCGAAAGATATCAAGAGAAACTCTTCCGATTACACTCCCTAGGATGCAGCCGTGTTAGAGAGAAAATGAAGAATCCGGTTTCTCTTTGGTCGGTTATTACTACTAGTTTCTCTTTGGTCGGTTATTACTACTAGTTTCTCTTTGGTCGGTTTTTTGTCTTTCACATTTTGTATTTTCCGTTTTCTTGTATTTTCCTTCTGTTAAATCTGTGTTAACATTCGGATATATGGAATGGATGCGTAGTAATACATTTTTTTTCTAGTCAGGACTCATCTATAATATGGTTAGTCTCAATCGAAAAAGCAAAATAACCAAAATGGTGGTCACGTGATTGATGAGGCATAATGGGAAAGCTTATTAAGTTATGCAATAATTAATAAATGGGAATTAATAACTACCACATATTTTAACAAAAAAACTCTTAATAATTTTCACAAATGCTTAACTTTTTAAACATGTCTTTTTTAGAAAAAAAAATTAACTTAACTATTTTTCACTAGCACCACCTCATTAAAAAACTTAATATGGAAAACCACTTGGGACAAAACTACGTTGAGGGAAAAATAGTGTGTTGCTATGTGAGCTAAATTCGTATCAAAATCTGATTTTGGAAGATCGTACCTATATGTTTTTGGAATTGATTAAAATAAGTAAAAAATATGAAGGATCTGTATTTCTCTCTATATAGATGGTTATTTTAGTTATACTTAGTATAAGCACATATATTACTGCATTATAAAATGAATGAATGTCGCTTGTACATAATACATTATTGATCAATATATCAATGTGCCCCGACAAGGAGACATGTGCTGCGAAACTATACTTAGTTAAGTAATTTCTATATATAACATTTATCCACATATGACATCAATAAATACATATGTATACACGTATCTATCCGTATACTCACTAATAATTGTATATTATGTTCCTCTTGAGCTCATTACGTCATCTTGTCATAAGATTTTATTTCGTTTAAATACTACTAGTAGTGATGTTATTATGGGTTTACCCACCCCATTTAAACCCACCCCATTTAAACCCACCCCATTTAACTTCAAACCCATATAAACCCATTTATATTTAAACCCCATTTAACCCTGCCCATTTAAATTTAGTAAACCCATGTGGACCCATTTAAACCCATTTAAGTGAGATATTGCCTTTTATTAATTAATTCATAACCTTGATAGATAAATAACAACAGTCCATAAACATTAGCTAAATCTGAAATATTTATAATTCACTAAAACATAGATTTCAATAACATTGAACAAAACAAAAAATAAGAGCAAATGATGAGTGATCCATAAATCTTCAAGAGCATTTTCATAGCGTAGTGTCGTTATTATCTTCAACTGTACCTACAATTCAACATATAAATTAGTGATAACAATCACTTAATTATAAAGTAGTTTCTGTAAATCTTAAATTATTACCTTCATATTCTGCGAAACCACGTAACCAATTACGTGTACATAGCAAAGCCCGAACGTTTTGTGGAAGTAAACGGTTCCTATATGGTGTCAAGACTCTACTTCCAATGCTAAATGCTGACTCCGAAGATACCGTGGTAATTGGAATACTGAGAATATCAAGTGCCATTAAAGCTAAATCCCCAAGGCGATGTTGGTTGTCTTTCCAATACCTCAAAACATCTAAATTTGGAAAAGCTTTCCACTCTAGTCTTGGCTCAGCCAAATAGATATCCAAGTGACTCTTTGTGTTGTTCACACCAGCTTCAATGCTTCTTTCCAACTCAAAGAGATCCTGTATTACAAAGATTTACATCAGTTAACAATATGGATTTCTATGGATTTTTAACTTTGTATATAAAGATACTTACATTATCGAAATCATCCTCAAGTGGAGATTCACTAAGTAAGTCATGTGGATTTGTTGTCCCTGAAACACCTGGAGAACTCGTCTGATAAGCTTTAAAAATCATTTCCAAATTCTTCTCAAGTTCTTTAATCTTCAACGCAGAAGTAGTGGGATCTACTTTCTGATAAGCTACTTCGAGCATCTTTACTTTAAGTCTTGGATCTAAAACTGCTCCAATAGCCAAAATAAGACTGTAATCCTTCCAATACTTAGCAAACTTAATTTGCATTTCCATAGCCATTTGCTTTATATCCTCATCATCACAAGTGCCGTACTTCTTCAATAGTAATTCAATCCTCCAAACTTGGGTGAAGTATACATTCGATGTCGGATACTTAGAGCCTGAAATATAAGTAGTGATTACACTAAATGGCTTCAACAAGTCACAAATCTTTTCACCACGATCCCACTCATCATCTGATGGTAAAGACTTATAATTGGTGTCAAAAGCCTTCATGCTATCAAATGCTTTTCTAAACTTCAATGCTCTAGCGAGCATTTCATATGTAGAGTTCCATCTAGTAGGAACATCAAGAGATAACCCTGCCCCACTCCTTATTCCCACTCTCTCTACACAGGCTGCAAATGCCTCTTTCCTCTGTGGAGATGCTTTCACATATAGAACACTTTCCCGAATGTTGTGTAAAACATCCTTAGCTAACTCTAAACCTTTCTTGACAATGATGTTAAGAATATGAGCGCAACATCTAATGTGCAGAAATTTCCCATCACATAACAAACCACTGCCACTAATCATCTGAAGCTGACCCTTGAGGATTTTCACCATATTATTATTATTGGTAGCATTGTCTAGAGTCATAGAAAGTACCTTTTTTTCTAGTCCCCATTCCTTTAAACAATCAAGAATCCTATTAGCAATATGTTCACCAGTGTGCGGAGACTTCAACTCACAAAAATCTAAAATATAACTGTGTAAATGCCAACCTTCATCGATAAAATGCGCAGTTACACAAATATAACTCGTCATACTAGCCTTAGCTGACCACAAGTCCGAAGTAAAAGAAACTCTACCACGATGCTTTGCAAAAAGCTCTTTTAACTTTTCTTTTTCTACTTCATATCTCACAAAAACATCAGCAGCAGCAGTTTGCCTACAAATAGGTTGATAATCCGGATTTAAATATTTGTCTCTCGCCCGGACTTTCTCATATTCTACGTATCGAAAAGGTAAATCATGATAGATGATTACTTCACTAACCATCTCACGATCGATCTTCTGATCATATACCGGCCTATCTATCTTCTTAGGCATCTTAGGACACTTCTCTAAATGGCGACTTAAGTGATTTGTTCCATAATTTCCATGTGGTCTACTACTAGTACCTATCACCAACTTTGTACCACAATGTATGCACTTAGCTCTTTCTTTTTCATCACTCTCTAACCCTACTGAAATGAAATCATCCCAAACATTTGAAGTTTTGCGTCTCTTACGTGGAGCTTGTTGAGTTTGAGTCGGCTGAATTTGTGTTTCACTTTGCTCCGGTGCTTGCACTTCTGCATCTTCCTCATTCATGTCTATTAAGTCATTTTGTGCATTGAGAAATGCAATTGTTTGTAGAGACTCTAAATCCATTCTGGAAAAAAAAAAAAAAGCACTAACTTCATTAACAAAAGCACTAACGTTAATTTACAAAACTAAGACTCAAGAGCCTTGAAAATTAAAAACCCACTAACGTATTTTACAAAACTAAGACTCAAAGACTTGATGTGATAGAAACAGAGAAAGCCTAAACTATGTAACTATGAAACTTTTCACGATTATACCAAGGTTAGACTAATGTTAATTTACAAAACTAAGACTCAAGAGCTTTGAAAACTAAAAACCCACTAACGTATTTTCCTAAGTCCACTAACGTTTCATTATTCTTCAAATCTTTCAATTTTGGTTAACCCAAAAAATCACTGATTTCCAAGTAAAGCTTAAAACTTTGTAAAGCTAATAGAACAAAACCAAAATCTAAGATCCTACGATACTTAAACGAGCCAATCTAAAGGAGATTACACAGTATGAGACAACAAAAATGTAAGGAATTGGAGCAAATCAGAGGAAAAGAACTAACCTTTAAAGGAAAAGAACAATTGATTCAGAGACAATGACTGACTATGAAAAGAGAAAGGAGAGAGTTAGTGATTGAGTAGTTGTATCAGTGGTAGAGAGAGATGGGTGAGATGAGATCTCGTTAATTGAAGAAAGCGAAGAAGCGAGAGGAGAAAAAGAAGAAGATAAAGAACAGATATGTTGCTTAGGTTAAAATAAATGGGTAGCCCATTTATTTGAGAGAAAACCCATTTAATATATGGGCTTAAACGGGCTAGCCCATTTAACCTTATAAAACACTTTTATATAAATGGGTTTAAATGGGCTATTTTTTTAACAACATACCCATTTAACTAAATGGGCTATGAAACCCATTTTAACATCACTAACTACTAGTAATGTATCCTAATATTACCCGAGGTTTTCATGATGTTTTGATCTTCTCTCTACATGACTACATTTACTAGATAAGCATTTTCACTATGTTCGGATTTATATCATGTTGATAGATCTTTTATTTTATTTTAGTTTAACATCAAATCCTCTTTTTTTTTAAAAAAAATCTAACTTACGAAAATAAAAAGATAATTTACATAGTTAATTAAATTATCCTGAAACAAAAATTCATTTATACTAAAATTATATATTTTGATATGAAATTTGAAAAACAAAGTGCTTTGCTAATTTACAGTTTTTCTAACAGCATTTGTTCAACTCTTGCTTATTCTGTATATTATAGTTTTATTACAACATCTCACCATAAATTGTACCGGTCCAAATGTACGTTAATTAGGAGAAGACTTATCACGAAAAAAGGTTGTTGACGTATCGTTATTTGTTGAATTGTAAAAGTTTTCAGCCTCCTAATGAGGTAATCTAATTTTGTAAAGTTATTATTTGTACTTGGTACTTTATCATGCTGACGTATCGTTATTTGTTGAATTGTAAAAGTTTTCAGCCTCCTAATGAGGTAATCTAATTTTGTAAAGTTATTATTTGTACTTGGTACTTTATCATGCATTTGCTTCTTATTTTAAGCATATGACAGCCGGCAACACCATAGTTTACAGTGCCAAATTGACATTGATTAAAAATATTGTTATCTGGAAGAAAGTTAAGGAAATACTTACTTCAAAAGAATACAACATAAGGTGTTCGAACAAAAAAAAAAGAAAGAATATTACATAAGGTGAAAATAATAATTTGCCTCGGTATACAGACATACAGTTATACGTATATATGGCTATCTAATTTTATTTTGACTTGGTTAACCGATATTTATTGGGAGTGAATAATTAAATTGATTTAAAGAAAATATAATAGACCCGAGAGTGAAGGTAAGTAGGTAACTAAAGGCGTGTATGAGATTAGAGAAAGCACGAAATTGAAATGATGACTTTAAGATCCAATAATTCAATGTTTGAATCGAGCAAGTCACGCTAATCACTTCCTCGAGATAATGTCTCCCTTATTCATAACCCTAAAAGTAATGTTAGTTTGAATACAAGAAAATTTCACGAAGAAAATGAAAAAGCTAATGCCATAATAATTTATATATCATATAATGTTAATTAAAAATGTGTTTTGTTTTATATATCTTTCTTTTCTATATATTTAGATTTTTAAGTTATCATCTTTATTAAAAATAACCTAACTTTTTTATTTTTTGGGTCAACAGTCGAAATAGGTTTAGACTGATTTATACTTTATCGTTAAAACACTTATCATTTCTTTTACGTCGAAATCGGTACATGGAATCTTGATAACCTTTTTGGACATATGATTGAAGAGATGTCTAAGAAGTTTTCCATGCCCTACGGCTAATATATCAAGTTCTGTTATGCACAGTTGTTAATTCAACCGAAGCTTTTGTTTCGGTGCTTTTATTCTTCGACTCTGTGGAACAAAAATAAGGATGACAGAGAAATCGGATTCCTTGATTTGTTCTCAGTGCAGAGAGCTCTGTTATTTGCTCTGTTTACAGAACAGAATACTCTGTTTTTTAATCTGTTAGGAAGAAAAGACTCTGTTTCTTTGCTCTATTATCAGGTTGGTCTTGTTAGGTTCAATTCAAACTTTATTTTGATTGTAAGATATCAAAAGAATCAGAAAAGAAATCAAATTATGACAAATAAACAATTACCCAAAAAGGGAAATGAATCTTAGAAACTCAAAAGAATCAAATCAACAAATCATGAGATAAATATTGAAAGAAAGAAAACGCTTCAAATGCTTGAATGTTCTTGGTAATACGATCAGTCGAGGTTGCATTCTGTGGGTAAGCCTTGAGGGAACCTCTTGAAATCCGTACAGTAGTTATAGATCATATAATCATCTTGCACCCACTTCATCTGTCCGTACTGGTTTGAGTTAAGTGTAGTCCACATCCACGAGTTGCTATTCGCATTACACGTAACCCAATTCAATAACGAGGTTCGGCTGCAGCAGTCCACATCGTTGAAGCTTCTGTAGGAAGCCCTGAATGGAGCGTTGGTCCAATCGGTCTTGACTCTCCCGCCTTGTGTGGCCCAATCATCAGCTTCCCATAGACTCGAGTAGATCTTCATCGGCTAGCTCTTCGGGTAAGCCACGCCGTTAGCCTCATTGTTCTTGAACACCCGGATTGGGATTCCATCCACTAGAAAGCTTTTGAGATTTCAAGAAAAACAAAACATAAATTCAAGAACGGTCTAAACAACGTGTAAATATTTTTCTAAAATAAATCAGCCCTTAGACGGCTTTAAACGCTCGATTAACGTCTAATGATACTTTTATATTTTATGATGGAGCGATCAGTTACTTACATGATGTTGAGAGGGTTCCAAAGGACGGTGTAAGTGTGATAATCCGCAGTGGGATCGAACCAGAGGTAAAACTGCATTTCTCGGTTACCTTTACCTCCAGTGAACACATTTGTGTGGAGAACATAAGGCTGTCCAGTAACATTACCCAAAAACTCGAAGTCTATCTCGTCCCATGTCTCACCTTTTGAAGAAAGCTGCAAAAACGTTCAAAATTCAGATAGATGTCACAAACTTTAAGAGAAACGGAGATAATTGTTGGTTTACATACGTAGTAAGCTGTGACGGTTCCCGCAGAATTTCCAGCCACAAGTTTCATCTTCATGTCGATCTTTCCAAACAAATACTCCTTCTTTGATTGAAAACCTGAACCGGAGATCTTGTCGAGAGTGCAAGTCAAGAGCTGTCCACTCTCAAATATGTTGGCACGACCATCTCCCCAAGTGATATCGAAGTTGTCGTAGAAATTTCCGGTGGATACGCCGATCAGAAGCAGACGAGACAACAACAACAACAACCGAGACTGTTTGGTTGCAAAAGCCGCCATTTTAAAAAAAAAATGGGTTTGTTTTGGTGTTGTTGTTTAAAAATATTTGTTTTCCGATGGTTTGAATATGATCGGAGGTTGGTGTTTATATAGAGAAATGGTTTATAAAGTGAATGCATTAGAGAGGTTAGTGGAGTCCCATTATCGACGTGGTAGTCTTACACCAACGATGTTAATTATTACATATAAATGAATATATGTCAGCTAATATCTGAATATATTTATATATAGGTAATGTTTTTAATTTTTCTTTTATTTTTTCATTTAGGCAAATTTCTTTTTCTTTTCTTGTTCATGCATTTGGCTCAACTGTATAATGTAATGGATTTTGAATTAAAAATGGTTTTTAAAACTTAACGGTTAGCATTTTTAGTTAATTTGTACAATTAGTTTTAAAATATTTGTTTTGGTTTTTGTAAAATGGACCGACAAGTTTTTGAAATTTAGGACGGACATGTCAGCCACATACATGTAAGAATTGCCACACGCAAATTATTAAATGCAACTACGTGAAGTATTCTTCGAATGTCTACCGTCATTTGCATAATAGAAAGAAAAAAGAAAAACAGAATATTCATTTCAGGTGAATAAATCCCAGTCAATCATAGTCAAAACACTCAAAAGTTTATTATGGAATAAACGAATACTGTACAAAAAAAGAGGAGGAGAGAAGAACTGAGATCTCACCTGAGTATTTGGCTGGTGCCGGGTGAAGCAAGATATGGTTGGAAATCATATTTTGAGAATTTAAGAGAAATGGAATTGAGACCAATTGTAGAAACTGAGTTTATTTATGGCTGTGAATGATTGTAAATGGAGGGTGAGATCTGTTAAGCCTCTTCTCCAAGAAAAAAGTTAAAAAGGTTTGTAGACGTTGGATCACTTGGTTTTAAAGACTGTTGCCGCATCCCAAAGGTTGTTTCTTTTTTCAGTTTTTGTTTATTATTTCGATAAGATGGCGATCTCTCTGACGGCAGGAGCAGTTGTGAAACTTGCTAATGGAGATGTGACGTCCGAAATACAAATGATGCCGGTGCTGCATGTGTTGAATACGAAGATTTGTGTGGTTAACAGAGTTGAAGGGGCTGTGTTGTCGTTAACAGACGGGCAGGGGCATTCGATACGGGCATTACTTAAGGGTGATCTGACAAGCTTGGTGAAAGACAACATTGTTGGACCCGGTAGTAATATTCAGCTCCTTCAATTCACCACTCGAGTCACCACCACTCTACATTTGCAAAGGTAAATTTTGCGCTAGTTTGCCTTTCTTTCTTTTTTTTTGAGTAGAAACGACGAATTTTGTAGTTTCCTGAAATGAAACTGATGTTCAAAGTTTTTTTCTTCTTTTCTTTGACAGGGTTGTTAATATTACTGCTGCGAATGTGATATTATCTAGTTCTGATGTAATTGGACAACCTCATTCTGATGTAATTGGACAACCTCAAGGTCCTCAACAGAATTTCGATGTGGTACCTCTTGTTGCTAATACACAAGAGAGTAATAGTGTTAAACCTCTTGTTGCGGACGAGCTGAAGATCTTTCGCAATAGAATTAAAGATGCTAAGGCTTTCGTTTGTGATACTGTAAGTACTATATAATTTAAAAAATTTAATCATTTGTCATGCAAAACTAATCTTGGGATTGTGATGTTTTGCTTATAGAGAACCACAAAAGATGGTATTCGGGCTGCAATAAGGTGTTTTGACATGATAATAACTAAATTTAACATGCTATTACCGGATCGGCGTGTTCGTCGAAAGGAGCCTAGACCTTCAAATGATGACTCGGAGGACTTATACATGGATCAACTCCGGTTAAACGCTAGTAGCCTCATCAAGTTCTTTATGAAGTGGATTGTTCCTCAATTGTTGAAGTTATTCCATTCTACTACCGACGTGCCTGAACTCAATAAAATCCAAAGTGTTGTAGATGAATGTAGTATCTCAGTTTATCGTCTTACAACGGAGGGTTTCGACTGCAAAAAGGATGAAGATGATTTTGTATAAAATCTTCATGGCTCTACTCTTTTTCCTTATTTATGCCACATCACTTTGGGTAAAAAAAAATTTGTTTATGTTTTCTTCATAGATGTTTTATATTTCATTTTAATTTGTGATTATATTTTATACTTAGATATCTTGTTTCTAATATTATTTATATAAAATTATCTAAAAAACATTAAAATATTTTTAAAACTCGGTCCTATGGTTTCAGATTTTCAGTCATGGCTCAAGTTTTTGGCCGAGAGAATCCTACCCGGCAGCCAATAGATCGAGGGTTCCTTAACCAATTTTTTCCATTTAGTTTGTCGAATCTGAAATCCTTCGTTTATAGATTGTTAAAAGTTTTTTTGTGCCAAATAATTTGTTTTTGGTTCATCTTCTTAGAAACAATTTTTAAGTATTTAGTTGATCAATAAAAACTATAAAAAAGTATTCATTCATTCTTGTTTTTATTTAAATGAAAATGAAAATCTTGATGTCAATAACTTTATATATATATATATATATATATATATATATATATATATATATATATTATTTTATTTATAAACGAAATATATATTTTTATTTTATTTACAGTTCTTATTTCGATTACCATAAGTAGAGAGAAGTAATAAATCAAGAGGATTTGGCTCAAGTGAAAGACACAAATCGAAAGAGAGAAGACACTTTCTGGAATACAAAACACAAAGAAGTAGTTACAAAAAAACATAAAAACACAGAACGACAATTGTTCCATTTACACATACAACCAATCCCGTGATGATTATGCATTGGAGATAGACATCTTTCTCAAAATGTTTGTCATCCATCCAACCTCATGGTCGGATTCCACAGAACTGTTCTCTTCATCCTCACTACCTTTCGATGAGGTCTCCACCTTATGCTTCTCCAATTCCAAACGAAATTCCATTATTTTGGTAGTTAGTTGATTGATGACTCTATCTTTCTCACGAATTTCATCTCGAGCTCGAATCAGTGCTTCTCTTGGCCATCCTGTCACCTCTTCTTCATCCAACCACACAAAGTGCTTGCAGTGATCAGTCCTACCCACCTAATGACACAAATAACACTTAACATGTATCAAGAAGCTATCACAGTCTCGGATTGTAAAAGCAATCGACTCTACCAATACCTTATACAACTCACAACCGAGGAATCTTCTTCCCGGATTCTTATCGGTCCACGATGTGAATCTCTTTGCAGGCAAACCACATTTACACATCATCGTTCGACCCCCAAATGATCTGCTCCTACTCTTACTTGACGATCCCGAGTTCAAATCCATCTATCAAAACAAAAGAAAATACCAAGTAACCATTATCCATTGTGATCTCAAGTAAGTCTTAGTAAGAAAGTCACTTATCACCATCATGATGTGAATCTCATCAGACTTTACAAATCAGCTAATCCGGCAATTATAGCAAAACAATACTTCTTTACCAGCTTTAAACCAGCTTTCAGAGAATCGCCGTACGGACTTGGCAGCTTCACCACACACCAAATCCGAATCCACTCCAATAGCTATATACCTCATAAAATGAGAATGAAATTAAATTAAAGCAAATAAGAGTAGCAATCTACAGAAATAAGACTCTATTGTGTTTTGTCTGAAAAAAAAGCTCCTTGTAAGTTACTGGGAAATGCGAGAGTGAAAAACTATAAAGCTTAGACAATAACAAATTCAGCGGAAGCTTAAATTCAATTTCACAAATAACCCATCATATCATAAGACTCTATTGTGTTTTGTCGGAAAAAAAGAGCTTCGACATATTGTGTTTTGTCTGTAACTGTTAGGTTTCGACAAATCCCTCGAGCGAGCTCTCTGCGGTTCTTAAAAATGACAAATTAGATACAGAGAGTTAACAAATTTTGCAATTTGGATATCAACACTGAAGCTAAGATGTCGAGATTCATACTGAAGCAAGGATGCGAAATCGAAAGTGAAGCACCCTAATTTCAAACTGCAGACGAATCGCGACCCAGAATTGAAACCCTAGTACAGAAAACTAAACCAAATCGCAAAACAGAGGTAAAATGACTCGAGATTAACGAAGATTTTACCTCAAACTCACCGGAACTTTGAATCGCCCTAGGAGTCGCACGAGCAAAGCTCTCGCCGTCGAAATCGCAGATTAACTCGAAAATGAGTTATCAATTTAATTGGTCGGTCATATTTTGTATTTTTTTTATATCAATTATTTAACTTCATAATAATTAGAATTATATATATATATATATATAAATTTTATATCAAAATTCATCATTTTTCATACTCTATAAATAGAAACTTGTTTCATTTGATTTGGACACAGAAAAAACCCTGTTTTTTACAATACTATTCAATTACATCCAATAAACACTTGTTTTTCGCTTTCGTTTTAGTGAAATGGATCCCAACAATAACCCTTTCAACACCCAAAATTTTTCTAATTACCCCATTAAGGACCATAATTTATCATATGTAAATATAAGTAAACAACTTCCCAATATTATGTACATGACAATTAAATTCGAAATAAATTATACATTATTTACGGGAATAAAAATATTATAAATTCGAATATACTAATTTAGAGCATAATATGGTTTCGTGATTGGTGGAGTAATTATTTTTTAGTTAGTAATACAATATTCTAGATAGGTTCGTGAATCGTGAATTATTGATAACTGTAAATCATGGAGTATTTTACCAAAATCGTTAAATATATTCGTAAATATTTATGGGAATAAAATATATTAATAGACATTTATGGGAAAAAATATATTAATAGATTTACTGAAAATTAATAATGTTTTGTTTTGTTATAGAAATGACTTTACAATCTTATAATTTATGGGAAGAAAATATATTAATAAACAAATATAAATTTATGAGAATCACCCATCACGTTACAATTTATGGGAAGAAAATATATTAATAGTATTATAAGGTTTTTAAAATATATGCAAGTGGATCGTATTGATTCCCTAATTTCAAAATTCTAAATTTTAAATTTTAAATTCTAAATTCTAAATTCGAAATTCGAAAATATGTGATAAATTCCAAAATCTAGTACATATATTCTCTAATATATTTTAGGGAACCGTAATTATAAATAACATTAATTGTTTAGAGAACAATCTTTAAGAAATTAAATGGTAAATGCTAATATACGGAAAAAGATAATGTTAGGAAATAGATTATGAAAGTTTTATGGCTAAATTTTAGGAAATTATTGTGTTTGGATACAAAGATAGTAGGAGAAAAATAAATGAATTAATAAAGATTTTATTTAAGGGCGTTTTCGTAATTTTTATGTTAGATCCGATAATTATCCAGCCGGGTCAAAATATCCGTGTGTTTTTAAACGGGTCAGTAAAGAAAAAAATAAAAATAAAAAGCAGATTCATCAGCCAATTAAAACATAACGTTAATACATGTGGCATTGACGTCATCAATTACGTCATCATTTTGATTGGCTGATATTCATCGGCCTCACTTAAGCGCATTCTCATTTAATAGTAAGATTTGTTTTTATTTTATTGTGAGAATATTTGTTTAACCAATAACATTAAGATTGAAACATTTTTTTAGATTGTAGAAGAATCCAAAAATAAAAAATTGTAGTAAATATTTGAATCTAGTTAAAGTTATTTTGAAATTTGACTAAGTATCTGTATCCATTTAAGTATATTCTTTACTTAAAAATATTATGCATGAAATTCAAACTGTACTATATCTACTTAGTTGTACCATTTGAACGAGTTGTCCTATATATTTAAGTTGTACCATGTGTACCAGTTGTCCTATTTCACCCTGAATTAGATGGATAATTAGATCTACCCAAGATTCAACTACACGATTCAACTACACGATTCGAGACATTACCAATGCACATAACCTATCGTGATTACCAACGGAATGAATGTGCATATCAAATCCGGTTTGGCATTATCAAAAGTCTATTCTTCTTTTTACCTATCTTAACAAGTGTTCGAGCTAAATTTTTCTTTGAATCACCATCCGATGCATATTAACAGGTACCACTTTGGAACTCATATTTGGGAGGTTTTAGGTTTAAAAAATCAAAGAAGGTAATAACTATTAGAGAGTTATCCACATTCAGCTGAAGAACCCAAGAAGTATATTGGGAGATGGGAATCATCTGGGGAAGTTAGCTTCGCTAGCTGAAGTCTCACTTCTCTGAATGAATCTGTCCATTTGATCAGTCTGTATGAAAGGTACGGTAACTCGCTCTTGGTGATAGACGTAGCTCTTAATAAGCTTCTAGTAGGAGCTGATTCCTTCTGCTAGCTTACTATCTCTTGTAGTCTGACTATTCTGTCAATAGTTTATGGACTTTCATGTTTGATCTGTTTCACATGGAAACTTGAATATTGATCTCTTACTTGGTCTACTTGTTTCTTTGACAGGTACTGTATTTGCTAGAAGGTGCACGTGAGTCCTTGTTGGACAATATCACTGCCGAAAGTTGATGATATTGCAAGTTCAAAGTCCCACTTTTCTTGTTTCTGATTGTTAGCTTTTGCACATTAAAAGTCCTATTTTTCGAACAATTTGGTGTTTTAAGTGTCGAACACTTTGCTTCGCTAGCTGAAGTCTCACTTCTCTGAATGAATCTGTCCATTTGATCAGTCTGTATGAAAGGTACGGTAACTCGCTCTTGGTGATAGACGTAGCTCTTAATAAGCTTCTAGTAGGAGCTGATTCCTTCTGCTAGCTTACTATCTCTTGTAGTCTGACTATTCTGTCAATAGTTTATGGACTTTCATGTTTGATCTGTTTCACATGGAAACTTGAATATTGATCTCTTACTTGGTCTACTTGTTTCTTTGACAGGTACTGTATTTGCTAGAAGGTGCACGTGAGTCCTTGTTGGACAATATCACTGCCGAAAGTTGATGATATTGCAAGTTCAAAGTCCCACTTTTCTTGTTTCTGATTGTTAGCTTTTGCACATTAAAAGTCCTATTTTTCGAACAATTTGGTGTTTTAAGTGTCGAACACTTTGTGTTTTCTTTTATGACATGTACTTGACTTTGTTTTCTCATGTTACTAATTATATGTTGTCTTTTGGCAAAAATATATTAAACACAAAAACACATATTTAAAACATTTTAATTGGAAAAAAATTAAATTAATTATTTTAAGTCATGTACTTTAGGTTTCAAGTAAAATGAATTTAAAGATTTTTTAAAGATTTTTAAATGATTTTCGAATTTTGTAAAATAAAAGTTAAAAAAAAAATATAAACAAATATAACCAAATATCTCAAAAAGACATAAATTTTTAATTATAATATTTTGTAATATTATGATATAAATTAAACCATAAATTAAATTTAAAATATTAAATGAAAGTTAAAATCTAAAATTAAATTAATGCGATTAAACCCTAAATTAAAGTTAAAATCTTAAATTAAATCTTTAAACTCTAAATTAAAGTTAAAATCTTAAATTAAATCTTTAAACTCTAAATTAAAGTTAAAATCTTAAATTAAATCTCTAAACCCTAAACTATGCCCTAGTGTATATGAACATATAAGTTTGATAGTTAGAATACTAACCTATATTAATTGTTGTTAATTTAAAAATTTTATACTTATAAGAAAAAAAATTCTAAAAATTTAAATACATATATTGTATTTTTAAAGAAATAATTTATATTTTTTTCATTAATAAAAAAATTTATATGATAATTTTATTATTTTTTCATTACTAGCCAATGAGAACTCACCTCCCACAATGTGGGACAAACCCTGAGCCGTTAAACCCTAAATTAAAGTTAAAATCTTAAATTAAATCTTTAAATCTTAAATTAAATCTTTAAACTCTAAATTAAAGTTAAAATCTTAAATTAAATCTTTAAACTCTAAATTAAAGTTAAAATCTTAAATTAAATCTCTAACCCTAAACCCTAAACTCTAAACCCTAACCCTAAACCCTTAACCCTAACCCTAAACCCTTAAACCCTATATTAAAGTTAAAATCCTAATTAAATTAAATATTTAAACTCTAAATTGAAATCTAAACTATAAAACATAAATACTTGAGTAAAAAAATCTAAATCTCAAAGTTTAAACCCTAAACCCTTAACCCTAAACCCTTAACCCTAAACCCTAAACCCTAAATTAAAGTTAAAATCCTAATTAAATTAAATCTTTAAACTCTAAATTGAAGTTTAAACTATAAAACATAAATACTTGAGTAAAAAAATCTAATCCCAAAGTTTAAACCCTACTCAATGAAATTTATGTTTGAATCTAAGCAAGTTACCGATGTAAATTTCTTCTCTAATAATCTGAAGTTCTTGTTTCGATAGACTGTGAGTCCGAATCCGAGCTCTCCAGACCACATTGTGAATTTGGAGATGTCTTCGGAAGCAACAGCATTTTCCTCTTTGGAAGCAACAACCTGCTCCTCTCCTGAAGCAACAACTTGGTATGAGGACACTGTGCTATCACCGGTCACCTATCGTTATATATACTGTAAGACCTCGTGTATATTTAGTCCCTGGCTTTGAGATCAGTATTTAGTTGTCGATGGGTTTCCAACATCGTGTATATTATTGGTGGCTATTTGTAGGCTTGCTTTATTTCTTGGGTTTACAAAGCTAATTAGTATACTATGCATTTCTATAACTAGTTGGTATGTATGGTTGATCCTTTCAATACATTGGAAAATTTTAATCTGTTGTTCATTTACCTTAGTGCCGAGGATCGTGCTCTGCCTGGTGCTCAGGAAGATGCTTTCATTGCTTTGGCTCGTGCTAAGGCTCAGGTTGCGGCTGAGGCGAACATTTATGATCATATACTGTAAGATCTTTGCAATTAGATAATGTTGTTAACACAAGCGTTGCAATTAAGTCTATCTAATCACAGAATTCTCATCGTATATTTTCTGTTTCAAGACTCTTGCTTTGCCTAGTTTTTTTTTTAGTCCCTTGATTTGAAATCAATATTTAGTTGTCGATCGGTTTCTAACATCGTGTATATAACTGGTGGCTATTTGTAGGCTTGCTTTATTTCTTGGGTTTACATTGTTTTAAGCTAATTAGTATATTATGCATTTCTATAACTAGTTGGTATGTACGGTTGATCCTTTCAATACATTGGAAAATTTTAATCCCTTGTTCATTTACCTTAGTGCGGAGGATGAGGCCAATGCTCATGCTCATGCTCATGCTCAGGCTCAGGCTCAGGCTCAGGCTCAGGCTCAGGCTCAAGCTCAGGCTCAGGCTCAGGCTCAGGCTCAGGCTCAGGCTCAGGCTCAGGCTCAGGCTCAGGCTCAGGCTCAGGCTCAGGCTCAGGCTCAGGCTCAGGCTCAGGCTCAGGCTCAGGCTCAGGCTCAGGCTCAGGCTCAGGCTCAGGCTCAGGGAGATGTTCATATTCCAATTTGGTTTATAGTCCCTAAGAGTGAAACCTCGGGCACCAAGATGAAGCGTGAAGATAGCTTGACCTTACTTGAACGCTATCGATCTTTTGTTCATGGTTAATATGTTCTGTTTAATGTTTTGGCTGGCCAATACATATCTTGAATAGGTTTTGGCAGGCCAATACATATTAGTGTATGAATTCTACTAATGTTTTGTTTTTCCCCAAACTAACTTGATTAACATGTGTCTGTGATTTTTTTTGGTGAACACATGTGTGGTTTTTTGTATGTTTCTACATGTTCTATCATGTTCTCGGGTAGGTTGATGGATTCTTTTTGGTATGTTTAAGGAATTATAAGACACCGTATACAACCTAATATCGTTTTTTTATAAACATTTTTCATTTTATAGTCATTTATAAAACCCTGTGTTTTGGTCCCTTCTCTTCTCTTTTCCCTTTATAACACTACAAGAAAACATGTCATTTGCGAGGCAGGTATTCCTCGCAAAAGCGTCGCAAAAGACCTTTTGCATGTCTTATGCGACGAATTAAGATTCGTCGCTAAACTCTCGTCGCAAATCATTATTCGTCGCAGTTTCCATGCAACGTTTGCGACGAAACAAATCCCTCGCAGTTTCCACGCGACAATCAGTCGCAAAATCGACGCACTGTTTGCGATGAATTTGCATCGAATAAGTCCCACGCAAATTTGCGTCGTATTTGCATCGACGTATTCCTCGTAACCGCGTCGCTAGTTAGCAACAAATATGCAAATTACGATGGATATATAGTTCTTGAATCCAATTTTAATCCAGTTTCACAAATTAGTTTTTTTTTTTGTTTTAATCTGTAACTAAAATTAACTCGAAATTAAACTAAAATCAAAAGCAAATAGTAATTAACATTGATTAAAACTAAAATAGTTTGATATTGACAAAAAGTAATGTTGCCGATAGATTTAGGTTTATAATACAACAAAAAACCCAAAATAATGGGATCATGCTTGAGGAGTACCCTGAGCTGTTGCAGCTTCCTCTGTTTGGTGTTGTGGTTCCTCTGTTTGGGCTTCTGCTCCCTGCGTTGGAGGTCTCTGAGCCCTAAGTGCTGTTGCTAGAGCTGGAAAATCTTGCGCTACAATGTCAAAGAGATAATCGTAGCCATGGATCCGTGTAAGAAGGTCGTTGTTTCGTTTTCTCTCCGCTTCATAGGTTTGCCGATCGACATAATCATCTGAAGTAGGTGGAGGATCAAATGATGAAGCAGATGGGATAACTTGAATAGAACCAACACCATAAATCCGTCCCTTTTTATTCTTTGGAGCAGCCTGGAAAAAACATGGTGAAGGAAATTTGAATAGATAACAAAACCAGAAGATAAAATAGTGACTTAGAAGAAGATGCATATCACAACTTACTAACTTAGAAGAAGATGCATATCACAAAAGTCTAAACAACACCAAAAACAGGCGTATGTCACACACACAAAAAAAGAAACAGATATGTATTCAATATAAGAAAGAGATATGTCAGCAAAACCACATAGCTTTAGACAGAACATTACTTAAAATTCCACTTAAACCATCATTAAACTATTGCACCTCTGATCTTAATAGCCAAAATGTTCAATGATATAGATAGATATGATGTTAAAACGATGATGAAGATTGAAGAAGACTCAAAGAACTCAAACAAGATTGAAAAATAAATAGGCTATATGTAAATAAGCAAGTAGGTGCATATCTATATACTAAGAGAGTTAAAAAATAATACCTCCAACAAGATATTGTTCTTCTCAGCTATGGATAGGCCACCAGGCTGGTCAGAGTGTCCTGGAGAGAGCTGAGACTCCCGCTCTGCAATCTTGGCTGAAACTTCTTTGCAGATTTGCTCAGCAAAACCGTCAACGAAAACTCCATTCTTTCTCTTGTGAGTCTGCTCCATTATCTCGACAATTGGAGGGAGTACACCTCCATTCTTCTCAGCCTACATGAAAGTTAAAATCATTATCAAGAAACTGGAATATGAAATTAAATGTGAAAAGCAGAAAATACTAACGCTTTCTAATGCACGACGTGCATAAGTCTTCTGCCCTGAGGTGTGTCTACTCGGGCCGTGACCGCCCACGCTTGTGTTGCGAGCTTTAGAACACTTACCACTTTTATCTTCTGAATGTGGATCAATCCAAAAAACTTTGAGGCCCTTCCATACCTCTGGATCCATCCACATAGGCATTACTTTATCACCTGACGTCTTCCACTTACTTTTCCACTTGCTAACTATATCACACAAGCGGATGCCTGCCTTAATTGTAAATTGCCTCTTCACCAAAACGTTAATTGAGTTGTCCCAGTTGTATTGTTGCTGTGAACAAGGAAATAAAATTAATCAATACATGAAGAACACATTACAAACTACTTCAACAAATAAAAAATCAAAACTCTAATCAATTACCGCAAACATATGAAACCAAGTGTCAACAATCTTCTTAGGTGTCTGTGAGATGTTGGCGTGTGGTTCAGTGAAGAATCCTTTTATACAATTGGAGACCACCTTCCCAACTTCATTATCGATCTCAAACCTATAGAAAACAACAAAAGTTAGTAATTAAATGTTGTCACTGTATTGAAAATACACAGAATACAAGTAAAGACGCTACCATTGTGTTCCTGGGGGACGCTTAGGGTCTAATTTTGTAAGTCCAGCCCGTCCCGGGCTTACAAGAAGCTCCTCGAGTGTTAACTGTCCCATTTCGTAATGCGCTTGAGCTTCAGGTGGGGAAGGAGCCTGAGTAGAAGACTGATATGTCTCTTGAACTGGAGTGGAGTTTGGTGACAAGGATGGGGTCCGTGGCAACTGTGAAGTTGTAGTAGGAGAAGATCGTGTAGTCGAATGAGGAGAGGACCGTGAAGTCGTAGCAGCAGTAGACCGTCCTCCATTACTCCTGTACTGTCTATAATGACCCCTTCCCTCCATCTACAATTATAAACACCAAGAACTATCAAATAATATCTATTATACGTATCCAAAATCAATATTGCAAAAGGAACAATCGAGTAATAATGAAACAAGGCATTGAAACCAAAGTAATAAACCAACAACGAAATTGAAAGCAAATAAATTGAAACACGCCATTGAAACAAAGCAATCAAATCTCTAATCAGCTCTAAGCCTTTACTTGTACCATGAGTGAATGAAACAGCTCACAGAACAAAGCAATAAAATCACCTAGGTAGCAAATTTTGTATATAAGATTCAGGAAATAAACATGGAAGAGATATGAAACAACAACACAGAGAAAAAGAAGGCAAGACATAGAGCAGAGAACCATCGACTAACAATCGAAAACAGTAAAAAAAGAAAAAACATCAAGTTACGACAATACAATAAGTCTGAATCAAGATACAATCAAAAACCTATTACAAACAACCGATTGACCAGCAAAGAAGCATCAAACGAACATAAATTTCCATCTCTAATATGCATAACATCAGCGATTACAAACCCTAAGTACCAAATAGGCCAAATCGAGGAAAAAAATTGAGTTTAAAAACCCTCATAAACAATTCAACAAACGATCGACTGAAGTAAGAAACAAAACCCATGTCAAGAAACAACCTTTAGATTAGAGTGTTTTTACAAGGATCGGTAGGGAGTATTCGAGAAGAGGAGAATTGGGGACCAAGATAGTGAGGAGGAATTGAGAATTTGAGACCCAAAGAGAGAAGAAGATACACTGGGAATCAAAGAAAGGAATTAGAGAAGCAGATTCAGAAGAACAAAGAAATTGAGGAGAAATTATCCAACCCAGAGAGATGATGAGAGCATCTGGGAATCGCAGAGACAAAGAAATAAGAGGAGGAAGTGGAGACGTTTCTTGAACATATTAATTGTTTAGCCTCGCCAATTCCTCGCAAACGTGACGCCAATATTTTGCCGAAATTTTGGCCAACTCTTTAGCGCGTGTTTTCCCGCAATTTTATTGCGACGCGCCGACGCTAATTCGTCGCAAATAAAAAAATTAAACGACGAATTCCCAAAAACTCGTCGCAATTTTCATCGCATTGTCTGAAAATTTTAAAACAAATTTTGAAACTTTGCGAGGAATTTACGAGGGTTCGAAGCTAATTCATTGCAATTTCCTCGCAAACTATAATAAGATATGCTTTTAATGGAGATTTACTTATTGATATTGATCAAACTAATGTATTTATACTGTAGGATATCTCATAATGAATGGTTTTAGTCAAAAAAAAAAATTGAAATTTATGTATTTGAGATCTAAGTACTAGATAACATATTTGTGAATAAGGAACATCTTCTTATTCAAGATAATTTTTGGAAAGGAAAAAAATTCAAACTTTATTATTCATAATAGAAAGATACAATCATATTAATTCTCACAATCTTCATCATCAGAACCACTATCATATGATTCCGAATCCTCATCAAACTCATCATAGACTTCATCTTCGACTTCCGAATAATCACCAGGTTCTTCTAGTTCTCGATTGTTCTGATCAATAAGTATGATGCTTTCTAGTGCATGTTCTGGAACATGGATCTCTCCTTGTGTGTTTTGTAATGGTACTTCATCAGAGACTCCAACAATACGTCCTCTAGGTGAAATTTGAATGACAGATAACCATGATAACCCAGTTTGCCGAATCTTCGGATATGGAATGAAACTAACTTGTTGTGCTTGAGCGGCAAGGATGAAAGGTTCAAATCTTTGATACCTTCGAGATGCATTGACATCAACAACGCCGAGATTGTTTTTCCTCACACCGCGGCCGATAACAGGATCGTACCAATCACATTTGAATAATATGCACTTCAAATTAACCAACCCAAGATATTGTACTTCTATGATTTCCTGCAGCACTCCGTAGTAATCTGTTTCGCCACTAACTAAAATACCAAAGTTTGTTGTTGTCCGATTTTGACCATGAGCTTTCACATGAAAAGCATATCCACGAGTGAAGTACATTGGTGCAGTTGTAATCCGCGCGATAGGGCCTTGGATCAACTCATGAAACCAAACAGGATATGTCTCTGTCCCATATTGTACCTGTAGAAGACAAAATGACTAATTAGACTAAAAAATATCACTTAATTAAAATTAAATAACCAAAAAAACCGACGATGGATAAGTTATTCTACATAATGTTTTAACCATCCTGCAAAGTCTTTGTCTCTTAGCTTCTCTATTTCTTTCTCAGATATATCGGGAAATGTTTCTTTCACTTGTGTTATGAAAATACTGCAAACATAAATACAGAATAAACCAGTTAGCAATGATACTATATATACATAATTTAAATATTAATAAAATATATTGTACCAAAGAATACCTTTCAAATGGTTGAACGTATTCACAATTGCGAAGAATATATGTGTGTGCACTTTGACGATCTTTATCAGATGACCACCAAACTTCTTTAAGTTGTCCACTAAGTCTTCCAACTTGTGCGAATATATCAGGAACACCTGAAACAGGATATACAGGTGCCACGCCACCATCATCATACCGTCTTGGGGCCCTTTTTCGGGTTCGAACTGCAGGCGGAAAGTAGTAGGAGGAAAAATGAGAAGTTTCTTCGGTTAAACTCCCAGCAACAATCGAGCCTTCAACTCTCGCCAAGTTTTTAGCTTTTCCTTTCAGATGTTTCATGAATCGCTCAAACGGGTACATCCACCGAAATTGAACTGGACCTCCAAGGGCTGCTTCATGCGGTAGATGGACGGGTAGATGTTCCATAACGTCAAAAAATGAGGGAGGAAAAATTTTCTCGAGGTTGCACAATAAGATCGGAATGCTATTATCTAGTTGATTTATTCCGTCTTCCGTAAGAGTTCGTGTACAAAGGTCACGAAAGAAAGTTCCAATACCTGCAATCATAACAAGTTATGAAAATGATTGTGTTAATTATGTAATTAATTATATATATGGTTAAATTAATCAAATTATGTATCACACATACCTGCGATTGCCTCATGGACATTTTTCGGTAATAGCTCTGTGAAAGCAAAAGGCAATAGGCGCTGCATAAAGACATGGCAATCATGGCTTTTCATCCCCGAAAACTTTTGTCCTTGCTCAACATTCTTCGAAAGTTTAGACACATAACCATCTGGAAACTTGACATCTGATTTAACCCACTCAAAAAGCGCTGACTTTGCCTCCGTAGATAATCGAAAGATTGGAACTGGAAGCTTCCCATCTCTCGTAAGATGCAACTCTGGTCGCGAACATATATCGGGTAAATCCAGTCTCGTTTTTAAGTGGTCTTTACTACGTCCCTGCACGTTCAAAACTGTATGCATCATGTTATCAAAAAAGTTCTTTTCGATATGCATTACATCAAGGTTGTGCCTCAACAGAAGATCCTTCCAATAAGGAAGTTGCCAAAAAATGCTTCTCTTGTGCCAATTGTGATTAACCAGATATCCATCTGGCATATTTGCGGGGATGTGCCAATTACCCCCACATGTAACTGTTTCTTGAGCACCCCAATAATCTATCTGCTCAACCAAGGCTTCCCCAGAGATATATACAGGTGGAGGTGCACGGACAACTTTGTTCTTCATAAATAACTTTTTGTTCTTCCTGTACGGATGACTCATCGGAAGAAAACGACGATGACAATCAAACCAGCTTGTCTTACGACCATGCTTCAGTTGAAATGCATCTGTTCGATGAATGCAATATGGACAAGATAATCTACCATGTGTAGTCCAACCTGATAGCATTCCGTATGCAGGAAAATCACTTATGGTCCACATGAGCACTGCACGCATTGTAAAGTTTTGTTGCTGTGAGTAATCAAATGTATCAACTCCGGTATACCAAAGCTGTTGTAACTCATTGATCAAAGGCTGTAAGAAAACATCAAGAGAACGTTTAGGATGCTTAGGACCGGGCACTAAAATACTCAAGAATAAAAATTCCCGTTGCATACACATATCTGGAGGTAGATTGTATGGTGTCACTATTACCGGCCACAAAGAATACTGCCTACCGGACATACCAAATGGACTAAACCCGTCAGTGCATAGACCAAGATAAACATTCCTACTCTCTCTTGCAAAGTCTGAATGTACCGTGTTAAAATGTTGCCAAGCTTTCGCATCTGATGGATGTGTCACCTCACCTTCTGTACGTGAATGATCAGCATGCCATCTCATTGACGCAGATGTCCTTTCTGAATGATATAGTCTTTTAAGCCTATCCGTAATTGGAAGATACCACATACGTTGGTACGGGATCTTCGTTCGTCCTGTACTTGGCTTATATCTTGGCTTTCCACAAAATCGACATTCCTGCAATTGATCATCTTCTTTCCAAAATATCATGCAATTATCAATGCAAACATCTATCATCTCTGAAGGCAACCCAAGACTGTATACCAACTTTTGTATCTCATAATATGACTCAGGAGCTAAATTATCCTCTGGCAATATCTCGTTAATTAATTCAGCCCATGAATCCATGCAAACCTCAGATAAGTTGTTATCTGTTTTTATGTTCATCATTCTAGATGCAAGTGATAATCTAGACATTCCTTCTCTACATCCATCGTAGATTGGTTGATTTGCAGCATCTAACATATCATAAAATTGTTGAGCATCTAAATTAGGATCCTCGGGGTTACCAGAGAATGTAGCCGTTTCATGAAATGCATCATGGACCATATCATGAAAACTATTATGATTTGGTTGACTATAATCAAACTGCTGATGCTCAAAATTAATATGAGGTTCCTCTTCTTGTTGAAAACTAGCATTACTAGACGATGCATTCACCATATTTCCTTCACCATGCCAAAACCAAACATAATAATTTGGCATGAACCCTCTATTATATAAATGCTTTCCGACGGTTTTCACCGAAAAATATCGACTATTTTTGCACTTTCGACATGGACAAGACATGTTACCAGTTTCTTGCGTCAGTGGCATTTGATTTGCGGTTATCATGAATTCTTCTAACCCATCTGCAAACTCCCGTGTCACCGATCCATCAGAATCTTTGTGCTTATACATCCACTCCCGCCGAATATAAATCTCGTGAGACGACGACATATATATTATATATATATATAACTCCAAGATTAAAAAATACAAAAACTTTGAAGAAAAGATTCGAAGAAGAATGTTTAATTTTGAATAGAGAATATGTTGTTTCTTATCCATTTACTCATCACAACGTCGGTTTATATAGGCATACAAAATATATTTGCGAGGTTTTTGCGTGGTTTATTAGCGACGAAAATGCGAGGAAAGGCAAAGTAGGTGGCACATTTTTAAAACGTTTCTCACCTACCACTATAAAATCGTCTCAAATGCGTCGCAACTTTGCATCGAATCCATCCATGCAAATTCGTCGCTTATTTGCGTGGCGTTTGCGACGAATTCACTAGTTCCACTCATATTCGTCGCTAAATACACGCAAACGTTGTGACGAACGAGTTCCACGCAAAGTAGCGACGAAATAGCATTGAATGACAATTCGACGCTTTTTCCACGCTCATTACACGCTATATAGCGAGGCATATTGTTCCTCGCAATATTTCCACGCAAATCACCTGTTTTCTTGTAGTGTAAACCCTTTTGTATTCTCTTTGAGAACTCATCTATCTTTCTCTTTAAGATTAGATTGTGTTAAAAAAAAAAAAAAAAAAAAACACTCTTAAAAATTAGATCATCTTGTTGATGTGCATATCCAGCAAAACCCTTGATCTCTTTGGTGTGTATATCCTGTGTCACACCTTGCTCGGAATGGCATTAAAACGTAAAGGATTCAGTATGGATACTATCCATAATCTTTGACAACAAAACAAACCTAAAAATCAATAAAAACAATCTTCTTTTCACGCAAGACTAAGAAAGAGTTCAAGTAACGAGCATTTTTTAAGATAAAACTAAAGAAATCTGACTCTTCTGGTCTTCCGGTGTACCCTGAAAACTCGAAAGTTTCAAGACTCTCCAACAAACATTCAGGAACAGAGCTCTGTTCAATGTTCCAGCTACACGGTTCCCACTCCCCAAGCCATGGATATCTCTCACTCTGAGATATAAAGGAGACAGTTAATACTACCATTTAAGACCGAAAAAGAGTCAACAAAGAAACTTACAGTATAAGCGAAGATATTGAGGATTAGAAGTTTAGGAGAATCTTGGAGCAATTGGACAAGTAACTTCGACCAATCATCATTACAAATATGTAGCCTCAGATATTCAAGCTGCTTGAAGACAATACCAGCATGATACACAGGCTGCACACGTGAAAACGCAACATATTTATTGCTATAAGTACTATATTGCAACTGAAATCTTGATGCTGAGAGATTGAAAAATATTACATCTACGCCATGGTTGGTATGTACGCGTAATATAAGCCGTTTGACAGATGTGACTGATATGAGAAGCTTCTCCGGATTCTGCTCAACATCGATAACTGCCTCTTCAAGTTTTCGCATACCTTTAATCAAGTAGGAGAAAGCGTCTCTTTGATCCGTAACTTTGAAATATTTTAAAGAAGGAGTTACTATCACAACCTCATCAGAAAAACATTCACTGCTTATCTCTAAGGTTAAACGCTGCAAGGACGGGACAATAATAACCAACTCTTTCACATTGTCATTCTTATATCGTTCAATACTCAGATCTTCCAGAACAGGGCAACAGGACAGAAGCAGCTCAAGAGATTCTTCGGTTGAGTATGTCACCTCACTGATTTGCAAGGTTTTCAAGGACGGGAGATAAGCCATACCAGGAACTTCCACAAGAATCACCCTACTGCTAAGATTTAAAGCCACAAGCGAACTGCAGGTATACAAACTATTCGGCAATAACACAGGTTCATTACAGGTAGTAATATAGATTATACTTAGCTCTTGAACACGGCGAGAAACTGAAATACCAACCCAACGTTTGATATCCTCAGGGCAAATTACATCATGAAGAAATCTGAGCCGCAAGCTTTCAATGATCGGAGCTCTGTGTAATGCCAGATTCTTGTCAATAAAATTTCGATACCTCTGGCATGAAGACAATTCAGAAACATTGATGTCATTGATATCATCATACTCAAGTTTAGGCAAACACATCCAAAGAAACTCCCATCGTTTAGACAAAACGCTAGTGGATACAGCAACTTTTGTTGGAAGAAACGACAATATCATCACCAGCAAGTCATCAGACAACTCACTCATTTTCGCCATATCTTTACAAATCCAAGATACTGAAACATTCGACGGAACTTGTGTTTTTCCAATCCTGAAAAAGAAAAAAGCAACAACGACAAGAATACTCCGTAAGACTTACGGATTTGTCAGAAGCCAACCAAAAGAATTAGTAAAACAAAGCCACAGAGAAAAAAGAACCCATGGGACTGAGAAGGACATGATATTTCTTAATCAGTTCGGGTATTTCATGATTAAGATATAAAGAGGACATGATAAAGAATGATTCTTCACAGACACCAAATTTAACAAAAAAAGCTAAAAATCAAAGTCGAACCAGAGACCAAAATAAACCCATGGGACTGAGAAGGAAGAACGATAATCAGTGTCAAATAGCTTGTCCATGAATCCTAACCTAACAGTCTCGTTACTCACTATCTCGCGAATCAAACATTTGAACAAATGAATCGAAAATTCGGGAAACCGGAGTTCAAGTGTACCTGTCCGCCTCCATCTCAAACCGGAGTCGCGCTGGTAATTCTCTATCGCCGACTTTGAATCCTCTATCTCCAGCCGAAGAATACAAAGAACTTAAAAGGTGCGGGTTGAATCCTCAAAACGGAAGGAGATTCTAGGTGTTACGAGAATTACCGAGGTTACGCAGCAAAAAGAGGTTTCAATTAGGGTTTCAAAAAGAGGTTTAAAATTTTAAATCATGCCATTATAAATCTAAAAAAATATAAATTATTTTAAGATCAAAATAAAGAAAATTCCTAAAAAAATCAAAATATATATTAAAACATAGTTATAATTTTAAAAATCTAACCAAAAAATTACAAATTTAACCAAATTTTTAGAGTTTTTGGCAGTGTTTTTAAACCCGACCCAGATAGTGAACCGGACTACCTTCTGGATCATCGGGTCACTGGGTCAACCAGATTACGGATTACGATGATTACGCCATCCACACTTACATAATCAATACTAAAATCCTATGAGGTCAAAACATTATTTGAAAAGAATTAGGGTTGATAAAAATAAGGTGGTTTATCTCCTATCAAACTCAGAACTCTTGTCTCTAGTAAAGTAAACACTTGGTATGATTTCGGAGTCAATCTCGACTTCGTCACACTCAGAATGTGATCTAGTCCCATTCACTAACCATTTAGTGAGACGGTTTACTTATCTTAGTTACTCAGTTACAATGAAAGAGAAGCTAAATGAAACGGTTTTACAGAAAGAGAAGGAGAAGCTACATGAGAAGTTAAAGGCAATGAAAGAGAAGCTAGTGGATCACAAGCTTTTTAGCAACTAGACGGATTCCAGCTCTCTCCATATAATCATATGGCTCCAAAGACAAGAAGGCATCAAGGACGGTTCCTGGTTTTACCATGTCTTTGAGGTCCTCAGCTTTTGGGTTCCTCAAAATGGTAACTCCAGAGGATTCTCTCTTGTGTATCTCAGCTGCATACCCGTCTCCAGTTCCAGAATACTTTGCCGGTATACTGCACAAACAAAGAAACAATCAGGATAAGCTAAGCAAACATGGTTCCTAAATGGAACCAAGAGAAAGAGACATAGACAAACTTACTGAATCCTTGCGGTAGGATCGCTTGAAAATCTTATTGGGATGATTACTGGGTTCCACTCAGAAATGCTGCCTGAATCAATAGATGCTGCATGTGCAGCACTGTCGCATTCTTGCAGTACATTACAGAGACTTGGATTCAAATTAACTACAAAGTTCAACTTTGGTCTCCCAGCAGTATCCTGAAATTTGAAATTGATCCCAAAGTACACTTCCAGACCAGGACAATGGAGACGAAGGGGTCTGTCCCTAAGGAAGAGCTGTAGTTTCTTTCTTTGGCTTCCGACATGAGTTGCTGTGATGCTTGGAATTGATATTTCATCTAGATCCAAGAATCTTTCCTGGTCACCAGTACCCTCAGAGGCAACAATGTCCGTGGGAATTTCCTTCCTCAAAGTGCTCATATCAAATAGATTCGTTTGAGCTTCTGCGTTTGAGTTCTCTCCGGTCTTCCAATCAGCGGAAGATTTGTTGATATTCGTACAGTCTTCGGAGTACTCTATAAGTTTATCGGGAAGATTTGACTTCTGTTGAAACAGCATGTTTCTGAATTAGTTACATCATTAAAATATATGCAGAAAATCGTGCAGTAGAGTGATTAGGACAAAGCACAAGATAGTCAATCACAAGATTAGAGAGCATACCAAGAACAAGACAGTCGCACAACACTTGAGAACCTCGAAATTCATCCTGATATCGTCCAGACTCGAATGCGTCTGGTTACAAAGTCCAAAGTAGGCAGCCCATTCCGCGAGCTGTCCAAACAAAGGTCACAGGAAAACAGAACAAGCATCCAACAAAGCCGTCACATTCGATTTCAAGAGCTCGGAAGAGTAAGTTTAGTCTTACAAGAACCATTTCAAAACAAAACAAAATAAAAGATCTTGAAACCAGGGAGAATAAGTCCGTCTCTTTAGTATCATTGTTACCTCCATATCATCAGCTCTCAATCCAAATCTTTGAGTAAGCAACGCCAACGAGTCAATGATACCCCTTGGCTCTGGTGGATTTCGTCCTATCTCAACAAATGCTTCTCTTATCCTTGGACAATCAAAATTCAATACGTTGTGACCTGCCCATATCCTTCCTACAGTATAAACCCCCCAAAAAAATCAACACAACTGAACAAACCAAAACATACACCAAGAACAGAATTTTCCACTTTCTATTAACGGTAATCACTTGGAAAGATACAATTTCGTTTCCATTATCTTTCATGTACACGCATGCAATTTATCTAAACTATTATATACACACACCAACAAAAAGGTCAATGCATGAAAGACTAAGCGGAATTTTAAGAAAGACTAAACACACATCAACGAATCAACAGAAAAATATCGAGAGAAGAAAGTGAAGCATACACCACACAGAATCAAAGAAATCAAGAGAAGAAAGTGAGACGTTTTACCCTTCGAGAATATCGTAAACGTCATCAGCAATTTTTGCAAACATATTGCATTGCACCAACCGAGGGGGGTAGTTTCGAAGCTCGACTAGCTTCTTCGGACAAACCAGGATTGATGTGAACTCTAGAATCGAGTTCTCTCCTTGGAACGGAATTTTCTTCTTGACTTTGAAGAGCGCAATCTCTGACCGATCCTCAGCCGGAGTTCCACCACCCATTGGTCGGAGATTTGCAGAACTCAACAACCTCTTGAGAAAGCTATATTCCAAAGGAGCAACCGGAAACCAGAAGATGAACAAATTCAAAATGTGTAAATCAAACACACCAAAGAAAACAATTTTCTTCTCTCAATAATCAACTAAGCACACAAAACCCATGATCCGAAATCAAGTAAACGAAACCTACTTAAACCCATGATTAACTCATTGACAGTTCAGGAAGTCATAAACAACTGAAGAACACACTGTGAATGAGAGAAGAGAAATCGAACCTCAAGAACCAATTGATTTTCGGACTGAAAAACGAGAAATCGAGGCACATACCTTAACAGATCGAGGACGGCGTTATGGGCAATGGATATAGGGTGACAATCCGTATGAAAACAAGCCAAAAATCGTTCAAATCCGTGAAGAATTGAAAAAGATGTGATGAATTGAAGTTCAAAAGCTTGTAAAGGTTTTCAATGGAGAAGTGAAAAAGAATGAGAAAAAAAAAGGAAAGTGTTTTTTTTTTGTTTTAAATCGCGAGAGAGAGGAAGAGCAAATCGAATCCCGGTTCGATTCAAGTGGATTAAACCGGTTACGAGAATTACATGGGTTACGAGAATTACATGGGTTACGCAGCAAAAAGAGGTTTCAACGTTTCAACGCAGAATTACATGGGTTACGAGAATTACATGGGTTACGAGAATTACATGGGTTAGTTCAGGAAGTCATAAACAACCCTACGGTTATTTTGAAGTTGTTCCTTGGCTTTTACGTTTCTTAACCGGGTGCACTAAGTTGGATGATTGGTCATTGGCTCGTTCCGTACCTTTTTCCTTTACATTAGCAGAGGCTCTTTTATTTTTCCGTAAATCTTTTGGTTCCTTCACAGACTGAAATTTGATACTCATCTCTATCATCCAAGCCTTAAGGTCTTCTTTCAGCTTCAACACTTCTTGTTCGTGTTTTTCATCCCTTTCAATCATCGCAGCCTTCAGGTCTTCTTTCAGCTTCAAAACTTCTTGTGCGTATTTTTCTTCCCTTTCAATCATCTCAGCCTTCAAGTCAGAAATGATAGAATATAAATCTGATGGTTGGGAGCCTGATCCAGTGGAAGCAGTTTTCACAGGGAGTTTTCTTCTTTTACTGCTTTGCCGGGTCTTTTCACCAACACCTGTCTGAATTGTAACGCCTGAGGCAGCCTTTTTTTTCTTTGTTCCCTGACCGGTTGGTTCTGAAGCTGCCGGTACCCCCTGATGTTTGCCATCAATTGGACATGGAGTGAAAGATGTGTCCCCACATTGGAATTCCGAAGCAAGGATGGGTCCACCCGAAGCTAGTTGGCATTTCAGCATTTCAACACTGTTGTCCTCAACCTCATCATCAAACATGAAGTACGAGTCCTCCAAGTCATAAGCTCCGTTCACCATCGGCCGGACAACCAACTGCATTTTAATTTACGTAAACATGGTTAATATACGTGGGGAACAGAATAAGCACAACATATTAACATAACTTTAAATGGGGTTCAGATAATGCAGAAGATAATAGGGGTGGAAATAAAGAAATATACCTCAGAATCACGTTCTACTTTTAGGATGTCCATCATTGAGAGGATAGTTTTAGGGAGTTCGAGATCTTGCATACTGTCAAGATTTTCAAGATATGTAGTCAAGTGTCTACAGGGAATATATGATTGAAGCTTTGGTATGGCTTCAAAGGCTAGAAGCTGCAAAGGGAGGGGGAAACCGAAGAAATTATTGTTACTCCGTTGCAAATTCATAGCAACAGCATTAGCCTTGTGAGGCAATTTAGGGTCTATGAGAGGAGGGCCAAAGTCCCTGAAAGTTTGAATTAAACTCTTTCTTCCCCATGGATATTCAAGGAAACCTTCGACATCATGAGTCATATTAACGTAAGCCGCAGTGATCTTTAGCGCTTTGTGGTTGCACATAACCACGCCGTCGATCAGAACTAAAAGAGCCAAAGGTAATTTTTTCCATTCGTCGAGCTTCGGGTTTGTCAACATTTCAAGGATGTCTGATACATGCACCGTTTTACTCTCGCCTACTCCAAACAGTAAGTCCCACTGTGATGTTCCTAGGTCCTTGCCGGCGGTCATAAGATCAGGAGATGGGAATGGCCCACAGCACAAACCCGAAATACTGTGCAATTCCCGAAGAGAGAATCTGAGAGGCTTTCCACCGAAGAGCATCCACATCTCGTACCTTTTTCTGGTTAGAAGTTGGCGACAAAAGAGTGCGTGGATTAGCTTCGTAGAGTTGACGCACCATTGAGTTGGAAGTTTAAATAACTTCCCAAACTGGGATTCTAATAACCTTTTCAAAGTCTTAGTCCCTTTCAAAACCTCTGCTAATTTTCCAATGACAGTTGCTTTCGAAAATATGTTAAGCCTCAGACCATCAGGGCAACTTCCCTCACTGAACAGGCGCTGTGGGAGATTGCATGGAACATCGTCGTCTTCAAAGGGACTCTCCATTTGATCTGGAATCGAATTTCACAACAGAAAATCTTCAAATGGTAGAAGAATTCTACGAAACTACCAAAGACCTCAAACATAAAGTAAAACATAGGAGAATAGCTTTCGAAAACCATCTAAAACTGACCGGATATGACATGCAGCTCTAGTGAAGGCAGAGATTTGGGGATTTCGCCAGGCGGCTCCGCATGTACAGCTTCCGGCGCCTGAGACGAATCAGGCAGAGGCGGCATATGAGTCTCTTCTGATACTAGCTCTAGTGAAGGCGGAGATTTGGGGATTTCGCCAGGCGGCTCCGCATGTACAGCTTCCGGCGCCTGAGCCGAATCCGGCAGAGGCGGCATATGAGTCTCTTTTGATACTTCGCCAGGCGGCTCCGCATGTACAGCTTCCGGCGCCTGAGACGAATCCGGCAGAGGCGGCATATGAGTCTCTTCTGATACTAGCTCTAGTGAAGGCGGAGATTTGGGGATTTCGCCAGGCGGCTCCGCATGTACAGCTTCCGGCGCCTGAGCCGAATCCGGCAGAGGCGGCATATGAGTCTCTTCTGATACTGTTTCTAGTTCTTCAAATGCTTTCTTCAAAGCGTAGATCAGCATCTTCTTTATCTATTACATGAAAATCCTAAAACAGTCAGGCAAGTGAATGCATATAAAAAGAAAAGAACAGCACTATGAAATCAATGAAACCAAGAAAGTACAAGACAGGTAATAACAAACAAACATTTTATAATCTCTATGTAACACACGTAACCTGCATAACAAACTTAATCAAGAATATTTCAAAAATTGATTCGTTTAATGTAAGGAAAATGATTATCAAAGCTGTTAAGCAAACTCTCATAAAATGTATCAGAAGCTGTTAAACAAAACTCAAAGCTGTTAAGCAAACTCTTATAAAATTGACTCGAATATTTAGGAGATTATTATCCATATTTTCCACGTAAACCAAGTAACCAACATTGGCTAACCTAGAGAGCATATAAATATAATTCGGAAAAGACAATAAGGAGCAACCTCAAGTTTGTCCTCTCTGCTTCCGTGGTTCTTGGGAAGTTGGCGAAACTCCTCGGTCAGACGCAAACACTCACCGATGTTCTCTGGTGACACAAAGTCAACTGCCACTTTTGTGCACGACTGTTTACACAAAAACACAGTTTTTCATCAGAGAGTTTCCACTACAAAGCAAATGGTATGACGAAAATAAGAGTAGAAGAACAGAAACTATTCAGTTTACTTAGACCCTTACAGCCTTACTCCGAAACATATAGGTTACCAAAACCCATATAGGTTACCAAAACCTTACAGCCTTACTCTACCTTTAGATTCCGAACTTGATGAGGACAACCCGCGGGAATAAACACCGCTTCTCCTAGATTTTGAAAAAATGTCCATGGCTCTACCCCTACAATTACAGTCTCTGTCAAAAAAACCCAATTCAGTTGAAAAAGAGTAACACATAATTGTTTATACTTACCAAATTCAGCTTTGAGTTTTCTTTTATGCTCTGCAGTTAAATAGAATGTTTGGTCATGTATCGGGTTATAAACCTGAAAAGAAAAATCGATTGTCAGTACACCAAGAAAGTAAAATCTCAGTCAAAAAGGTTGTTTCAGGTAAGTGAGTTATTACATTAGTAACTGGACAGCAAAAAATATGTCTAAATTCTTTGGAATACTTTTTCAGATACTCTTCTAACTTAGGAACATCTTCTCTCCTAAATATGTCCCAAAGAGCACTTCCCATTTTTTCATGATTCTGTGCATTTTCAAAGCTGAGGCACCCAGTAGTACCGACATTTTCAAGCTTGTCCTGCTCCTTGTGCTTCTTTTTCAAATCTTCAACCAAAGATAAATGATTTTCATCTAATGTAACTTCAGCTTCATGTACCAGTATGTTAACCGCATCTGCCATATCGCAGTGAAGCCTAGTCACAGAATCACCTCTCCCTAACTCAACTGAGGTCCCATAGGCAATATAAGTTTTGGGGCCCAAATCTGGTTTGAGAAGTTTTTCAGGAAGATTTGCTGCAATGTTAAGAATTCCGGTTCTTGGATTGGTATACTCTTGGAAAGGTAAAGCACATATGAACTCCTTGCAGTGAAGAGGCAAAAAATCTTCAAATTTCGCTTTAGGAGGCCAGTCTTTTACCTTCAACATCTGAGGCCATTGGTTTTCATGTCTTCTTCCTTTCTTGTAACCATCAAAGAATTCGGAGGGTTTAATTTTGACTTGACTTTCACCTAAGCAATCCATTATTCTTATGTTCTTACAACCTTCCAACATAACTCTCGGTTCCCAGCTTACACAATGTGTGTTCTTGAGAGTATTCCTAACAATTATTGGTTTGCCTTTTGCCAAATGCTCTTGAAAATGCAGAAGCTCTTCTTCTTTAAACACATCAAAAGATTCAGGAGAGAACAGGTAGTTGTCGCTCGAATTCTCCCTCGAAGCTGCTTTTCTCTTCATATAGGCTTCCAAATCAGGACACCTACAGTTGGAGTGTCCAAGTAGAGCTGCTTCCTCGAAGCTGCTTTTATTGTATGAAACCCTGAAATCCTCTGATTTTTGTATCAATTCTGACATAAATTGCAGCGGTAAGATTCGTCTAAGCTCCAAAATTCTATCACTACCACAACCACCTAGCTCTGTTGGTGCACAAGTAATGACTCTGTTTTCCTTAGCATGCCAAATAACGGGTTCTTCTCTGTCCTCAGGATCAAAACTGGAGCCTGTTTCTGGATCACTCAAACCGTGCATATATTGATCTCCTTTCCATTGATATTGTAATATTTCGGGTCGTTGAGAAAGAAATCTTTCGCGAATCTCTTTACAGCAGTTTAAACAAAGCTCATACTCGCAATTTGGGTTTGGGCAGCTTCGGTGCAAGTCAAAAATTGAAGTTGCACAGTGATTACTGCAACACTGTATGTTTATCAATTGAACTGAGCTGAATGATCCTAACTCTGTATTAAATAACTTAAGTTTGCTTACCAGAATACGCGTTCATCCATGGAGCTAGTATGGTTTGCCTCAACTGCAAAAGACGATAATCCTATAGAAATAGATCATATGTTAGCAAAAATCCCTCGGAAGGAACATAAACCATGACTTTATTGTGCTTGAGGCCTTTACATACCTTTAATATTTGCCTCAAATTCAATCTCTTCTTCCTGAGCTTTAACTAGCTTATCCAGAAACGGGAGCATCAATGCAATCATGTGCTCGAGATGATGGCGTTCAGAACTCGTGAGGTTCCTCTTTGATTCATTGCTCTGAATAGTTGCCTTCACTCTTTTACGCTTTGTTTTTTTATCCTTCATTGTGCCTTAACAATCAAACCATGATTAACCACTAATATCAAGTGAAGAAAACATATAGCTTAGGAACAATAGTTCACAACAAGTTGTAATAACAAACAAACATTTTATCATCTCTACATAACCCACGTAATCTGCGTAACAAACTTAATCAAGAATATTTCAAAAATTGATTCGTTGAGCTATTGACGCTAAATCTAGTAACAAGTATACACATCCAAAAAACACTGTAAAACCAAACAAAGTCTCGATTTTTGTTTCTGTAAACATCATACATAATCTGCGTAACAAACTTAATCAAGAATATTTCAAAAATTGATTCGTTGAGCTAAGAATATTTCAAAAATTGATTCGTTGAGCTATTGACCCTAAATCTAGTAACAAGTATACACATCCAAAAAACACTGTAAAACCAACCAAAGAAATTAAGGCGAAGAGCAAGAGAACAAGACTATACCAGGGAGTGATCGAAGGCGATGAAATCACCACTTCTTCCAAAGGAGCAACCGGAAACCAGAAGATGAACAAATTCAAAACGTGTAAATCAAACACACCAAAGAAAACAATTTTCTTCTCTCAATAATCAACTAAGCACACAAAACCCATGATCCGAAATCAAGTAAACGAAACCTACTTAAACCCATGATTAACTCATTGACAGTTCAGGAAGTCATAAACAACTGAAGAACACACTGTGAATGAGAGAAGAGAAATCGAACCTCAAGAACCAATTGATTTTCGGACTGAAAAACGAGAAATCGAGGCACATACCTTAACAGATAGAGGACGGCGTTATGGGCAATGGATATAGGGTGACAATCCGTATGAAAACAAGCCAAAAATCGTTCAAATCCGTGAAGAATTGAAAAAGATGTGATGAATTGAAGTTCAAAAGCTTGTAAAGGTTTTCAATGGAGAAGTGAAAAAGAATGAGAAAAAAAAGTAAAGTGTTTTTTTTTTTTGTTTTAAATCGCGAGAGAGAGGAAGAGCAAATCGAATCCCGGTTCGATTCAAGTGGATTAAACCGGTTACGAGAATTACATGGGTTACGAGAATTACATGGGTTACGCAGCAAAAAGAGGTTTCAACGTTTCAACGCAGAATTACATGGGTTACGAGAATTACATGGGTTACGAGAATTACATGGGTTAGTTCAGGAAGTCATAAACAACCCTACGGTTATTTTGAAGTTGTTCCTTGGCTTTTACGTTTCTTAACCGGGTGCACTAAGTTGTTATGTCAACTATGTTAACTATGACGGAAACTATTACGTCAACTATGTTATGTATTACTAGGGTTAACTATGTATTATGTTTCCTTCAGAAAACATACATAAACGGTTCGAAGAAAATTGATGGATTACCGACGCATTACCTAAGAAAAATAGACGAATGCGTGATAAATTTTGATAAATGCAGCTAAAAGCTTCACCATTAACAACCTTTCCACTGACTAATATTGTGCTCTATCATTGGTATTGTTGTTGTTCTCTGACATATTCCTTTTCTTCTCCTTTGTTTAGGATTGCATATGCAGAAGAAAATTTGGGTGAAAGTGAAGTCCATGAAGCTCATCTTGCTAAGGCTCTGTATTTCATCAGGATTAGTGATAAGGTATGTGAGCATGTCAAAGTTAATAAAATTGTGCACTTCAGAGAACTTCCCTGGTCATTAAAGCAAGAACAATAGTAATTGTTTACAAAAGTTTAACATGCATTAGAAAATGATTAAACCACACCCAACTTTCAAACACTTCCTACACATTCTTCATAGAGATCAATAGCGAATCGCATCCTCATCTCTTCCACCTTCGCATCTGTCAGTTCGTCCAACCCCATTCCTCGTGCGTGTAGTTCAATAAACTTAACCGTTAATGGGCCACAGTCTCCGGTGCGTTTATTCTGGTGCACATTTACAAGTCTTTCATAGGTGAACGTTTCAGGGAGCGTGCAATCAATACCATCTGTCTCAGCAAATTCCCTGATAATGACTGGGAGCATTTCCACTAGAGGTTTCAAAAGCCGCGGTAGTTTCTTGGCGTCATTGGAACTGATTAGGGGATCCAGGATTAAAACTTTCCCCATCTTCAGCTGTATCACAGCACCAACCCAGTGCCTATTTCCCCAATTCAAAGGGACATAGACAGTGTCTATATCAGTATACCAGGCCATTTTCGACGATCGGTTTGGGACTAAGGTTTCTCTGTCGTTTCTTCAAAAATTAAAAAAAATTTCCCTGCAGATCCTTCGGCTTCTCCGTGTCTTCCTTCTCCGCATTAGTTTTCCAGAGTACGATCTCATGTCTCTCTACCTCTCTATTTGTACTCCTCAATCTATCGTTAATTCGTGTTCAGATTGTTCGATTATTTCCTTAGATGTGATGCTGGTTTCTTCAGGGTAATTTTGAGTCAGGTTCGGATCGGTTGTTCGGTTTCGGATATTTTGCCCACCCCTATTTTTAACTAAAACACACGTAAAATACCCGAGCCGAATCCGAACCAAACACTAAGAAAAACCCGATCGGGTTCTATATCCCTAAACCCGAACAGAACCCGAAATATTGTATCTATTTTAGTAGATATTTACAAGCCAACAATTTTCAGATATCCAAAATATTTCGGGTTTTTTTTCGAACTTGGTTTTTTAGGAATATAGAACTCGATCGGGTTTTTCTTAGTGTTCGATTCGCCAAACATTTTTTAGTGTTCATATTTTAGAACACAAGAAATATCGAGTACTTCCGTAATGTTGTCCAATTAATGGTCTTGTTGTCTATTAGAACCTATTTTATGTCTATTGGAACTTCTGAAATGTTGTCCACTTAATAGTTTTGTTGTCTATTGGAACCTATTTTAGTTCTATTGGAACTTCTGAAATGTTGTCTACTTAATGGTTTTGTTGTCTATTAGAATCTATTTTATGTCTATTGGAACTTCTGAAATGTTGTCCACTTCATGAGATTGTTGTCTATTGGAACCTATTTTATGTCTTTTGGAAGTTATCTCTTGTTTGTCCACTACAAGGAGAATGTTGTCTACGAACACTTCAAATACGTCAACAATTTATATATTATTGTCTACGACCACTTGGCTCATCTCTTCTTCTCATGCTTGCTTGTGGTCTCTAATCTCTTCCATTGTCTCGATAATCTCTGATTTGGAAGTGAAAAAGCCTAACCCTAAAATTTCAGATTTCGAAAATGTTAGCTTTGGTGAAGAGTGTTCGTGTTTTTAGGGTTTTCTAATGTTTCTTTTTTAAAGCTGGGTCTTTTATGATGTCTCTGTTTTACGTGTTGAAACTGTTTTTTTTTTTGTACGCTTAACGTTTTTATGTGGTGTTTCTTGTTTAATAAATTCATTTTTAAATTAAAGCTTTTATAAAAAGTTTATTAGTTAAAAATGTTTTTATTGCATTAGTTTGTTTGGTGATATATTTAAATTAAAATAATTTATCAAATTAATTTCTCCTCGAAAACATGGAGAATCACGAGGTAATGGGATCACAAACTTGAAATCTATGGTGGTTCATAGTCATTGACAGCTAAAAAATTAAAAATAGAGATTGAAGTACAAGTAAAAATCTACGTCGTAAAAGTAAAAAACACGAAACGTCACTACAAGCCACTCTATATAAGTCACCACACCAACATGAGTCTCATTCACTAAAAATCCATCTTCTCTGTCTTTATCTTTTTCCTACCTTCTCGGTCTCTTTTATTTAGTCTCAAGCAAAAATGGAAGGACGTACGAAGCTTGAAGTCTCGAAAACCTCTACTTCTCTTGGTACTGTTGAATCAAAACCCCAGGAGGAAGTGGTTCCAACTGAAGCACCCATTGAATCTTCCCACAATGAGGATATTGTTCTTGAAGCTGTCGAAACAACCCCACAAGAGGATACTGTTCCCATTGTAGCGCCCATATCTTCCTACAATGATACGATACTCGACATTTCAGACAGGCTCAGGAACTTGGATCTGATGAAAGAAGGGATCCAGGTCCCGACTATAGTTGTCATCGGGGACCAATCCTCTGGAAAGACAAGTGTTCTTGAGTCTCAGGCTGGAATCAGGTTGCCTCGAGGGCAAATCCATTAAATAAACCGAAGTTTTTCATCTTTCAAACTTAGATACCTTCAAAATACTTGGATTCTCCAAGCCTCAGCTCTTAATTCCATATGTACTTCGATAGCTTCTTCTCGGCCGCTCACTAGCTGAACACCTCGTGCTTCCGCTTACCTCGTGCTTCCTAAGACATCGTGCTTTAACAACTAGTGGTATTTACTCGCGGTTTAACATATCTCCGACTCTAAGGTCATTCCCGATCCTTAGACTCTCTCGGCTTGATCTCGGTAAGCGTTTTAATTAGTTCGTATTTCAGGTCTATTAGATACCGTTCAGATTTTCGAATATCAAAGTATTTTCCACATGATCAATCGAGAAAATTTGCCGAGCTAGTCGGTTGGTTTCTGGAGTGAATTACAATGTGTTGTGGTTAAAAAAATCCCAAATTCCTTAGTAGTCGGCCGCAGCCGGTTGCCTGTTAAAAGCAGGCATGCATCGGTGACTCTTTCTGTGCCGCAATCATCTCTGGCCGACTACGATCTAAATTTGTCAGCGTTTTCTTGAGGCTCGAACTAGGTTCTTCTTCGACCAACCTCGGATTTCCATTAAATAAACCGAAGTTTTTCATCTTTCAAACTTAGATACCTTCAAAATACTTGGATTCTCCAAGCCTCAGCTCTTAATTCCATATGTACTTCGATAGCTTCTTCTCGGCCGCTCACTAGCTGAACACCTCGTGCTTCCGCTTACCTCGTGCTTCCTAAGACATCGTGCTTTAACAACTAGTGGTATTTACTCGCGGTTTAACATATCTCCGACTCTAAGGTCATTCCCGATCCTTAGACTCTCTCGGCTTGATCTCGGTAAGCGTTTTAATTAGTTCGTATTTCAGGTCTATTAGATACCGTTCAGATTTTCGAATATCAAAGTATTTTCCACATGATCAATCGAGAAAATTAGGGTTACGCAATACCTCATGATTTAGTTTGTAGCAAGAGCATACTTTCGAAACATTCCATTTCCAGTAGAGTTTAACAAGAAGAACGGGACAGAATCGTAACAAGTTTAACTAGTGCGGATTACATCAGCTAGACAAACTTAGAAATCATACAAACATTCCAAAAAGAACCACCACCAGTCCTGGTCGTAGAGTTTGCATGCATTTTCCCCCGGTAGAGATGACAGCATATTGCTAACAGATTCATACATACTTGAGCAGAGGCTTACTGGATCAATATGCACTATCACAAGAGCGATGGGAGCCAATGCTGCTATTGTTACGATCACGGCAGCCTCGTCTAAATCGGTAATGTCCTTCTCCGGACTATTAGTCAATTTGCACATCCATTTATACAACTTGTCGGCAATCATAATAATTTTGTTTCTGAATTCCAGATTCTGACTACTCTTATTCAGAATGTACTGTTTTGTAGCCCTTCCTGCAGACTCTACTGTTTCTTTAACTAAGAGAGTAGTTCCCATGCTGACAATATCACCAAGATTACCGAAATCGCGACTGGTTTGGCCACCATCCAATTTTTCCATAAGTCTAATTGTAGCCATTGTCTTCTCCTTAAGCAAGATATCATTGTTGGCCAGAGACTGTCTAAGCTCATCCAATGCTTTATATGCAATTTCTGTGTCCACCTCTCTCCGCTTCAATCTTTTTGCAACATCTGCCTCCACATTTTGGGCCGTCTCTTTAGTAAAGATTCCTCCTCTTCCAAAACCAACACAGTTTTCAGTTTCATCCTCTCTCTGCTTCAATTTGTTTGCAAGACTTGACTCCGCATTTTGGGTCGTCTCATGAGTAAGGCTTTCTTTTCCAACATCAACACATTTTTCAATTTGATCTATAAGACCTTGAAATTTGTCTGGCGGGATGGAGGACGTAACAGGGAATGTCCTCTTAGTACTAAGCCATTGGTTTCTTAACAAGTAATGATAGGAGAGAGCACTAACTCCACTTCGTTGTTTTGACCTGACAAAAAATAAAAGAGAAATGACTCAAATTGCATAATCAACTCAAGGTATCAAAATTAATGCCGCCAAACCAAAAGAAAAAAGAACACAGAGAAGACAAAAAACTAGTAATACTAACAAAAACATCAAACAAGAAAATGTTCCAAAGAAAGAAGAGCACAATCATAGCGAATTCGAGACCATAACCCCGGTTCACGCACAATGAGAATCTCAGGTTTCTTCTTATTGTGAAGAACAATTGTGCTTTGATGGTTTGATTAGAGGGTAGAAGCTATTATATAAACGCTACTAGTATAAAAGATAGAAATAGAAGATGAACAAAGGATATTGAGATGCTAACCTTTCTATCAAACTCTTTCTTATTGAACCGAACTTGTAAATAGACCGCATTGTGGTTGAGGAAGAGACCACCAGTAGGTCTCGCAAGCAAACAGCAGAGTTTTTTTTTTTGTCTGCAAACTGCAGAGTTTTTCTTTAAGCTCTGTGTTAAGCTCTGTGTAACTGTGTAAAGTATCTACCGAACAAAAAAATAACTGTGTAAAGTTTTTTTTTTTTAATAAAGATAGTCACTCCTAGTCACTTCAATCTTCTCTTTTTCAGTTTACCGAGACACGTTTGGTCACCAAAACACTCAATGAGAACAATAAGTGTTCTTATCTTTCCAACATTGGCCGAAAAAAAATATATATTTCCAACATATTTCGGGCATTTTGATTTTTACTGTAACCAAAAAAAAACCTAATAACTAGGGGTGGGCGTTCGGGAATTCGGGACGGGATTTATCGGAAACGGGACGGGAACGGGAATTTCGGGAACACAAAAACTCATCCCATTTATATCCCATTTAGCATTCGGGACGGGAACGGGATAGGACGGGACGGGAACAGGATGGGAACGGGAATTCCCATTTCGAAAATAACTTACAATTTAAATATATTTATTGTATTCTTTTTATTTATTATCACACCATATATGTTTTAAACTTTAAATTATGAAAAATACATTACAGAATATTCCATATAAATTAAAAGTTTGAAACTTTGGTGATTGTATTCTTGTTCAACTTTATAATTAGGTTTAACTTCTAAACAATTAAAGAAAAACTTTTGTAATATATTATAATATATTTATATATTATTATATAGATAATATATGATTTTATTTTACATAACATATGCATAGAATATATATAAACTACATATTTATATTTATCTTAAACGGGATTTCGGGAATTTCGGGAATTCCCGTTCCCGTCCCGTCCCATTCCCGATCGGGAATTGAAAACTTATCCCATATGGGAATACGGGATATATATGGGACGGGAATTCGGGAACGGGAACGGGATGGGACGGGACGGGTCGGAACGGGACAGGAATTAATTATGCCCACCCCTACTAATAACTGTGTAACTTAGTCTAGTCAAATCTTCTCTTTCCAACTTTTTATTCGACCGAGACAGTTTTTTCCTCTCTTTTTTGGTCCAAACACGGTCAAATACAGATGGGAAGAGTTACTCCCACTCCACCCATCTCTTTTTTTTCCTCTTTCCCCAGCATTTAGGATTAATTGCACATGATGCCATCTTTACATTAGGGTTTTCAAAATTGTGCTTCTTTTTTTATGAAAATGCCATAATTTACTATTTATATTTTTAATTTTACCCCTAAACATATAAACAAAAACTAAACTCTAAAATTAAACATTAAATCCAAAAATAAACCGTAAAATTAAATCCTAAACCCAAAAATTAAATCCAAGAAATAATATTTGTAATTGTAAAAAAATAAATAAAATGTTAAATATATGGAAATTTACATTAGTGACAAAATTGTCATTTACTAACTCAAATTATGGCAAATTTGAATAAATAAAAAGCAATGGCATTTTTGAAAGATTTTTCAAAATAGTGGGGCGTAATTTCCCCAACATTTATCTGCATATAATTTTTCCCTAAAACATATCTGTACTCAGGGCATGAGCATTGGTGATGCTCTTACCAAAGCTCTCCAAAATTTAATTTTAATCATTTACTAATTTTATATTTTTATTTATTTTTGTGAACCAATAAAAATGAGACACATAAAAAATGGGTGGGTCTCTCAAAACATGAGAACATAGATTTAGCACAAAACAAGAGAGTTTGGTGCTAAATCTATGGGTGGGTCATAAATAAAAAGCAATGGCATTTTTGAAAGATTTTTCAAAATAGTGGGACGTAATTTCCCCAACATTTATCTGCATATAATTTTTCCCTAAAACATATCTGTATTCATGGCATGAGCATTGGTGATACTCTTACTAAAGCTCTCCAAAATTTCATTTTAATCATTTACTAATTTTATGTTTTTATTTATTTTTGTGAACCAATGAAAATGAGACACATAAAAAATGGGTGGGTCTCTTAAAACATGAGAACATGTTCTCAACTTTTTCTTCTCTTTCTTCTACTTTATTTTTTTTTTATTTATATTTATTTTGAGAGCACTAGGGAAGAGCTCTCATTGCTCATACTCTCAAGGACATATACACGGACGAGCATGTTCTCTGTTTCCCGGATTATTTCAAGGTTTCATATGTAAGAATCTCTTGTTTGGTTTTGTTGTTCAAAATATATGGTCTTTGCAGAGAAATTGAAAGCTACTTAGAGCATGAATAACGGCAGGTCCAAGACCATGTCTAAGGTCCAAAAGATCCAAAAAATAAATCCAAAATGAAATAAAACAATGGATCTGGTCCAATTTTGGATTTTTGATCAGGCTTTAGATCTGCATATGTGTCTCATTGTGGTTGGTTGGAAAATATCTATTACACCCAAAAAAAATTTTTCCGTTTTCTTTTCGCGATTCGCTATCTCTCTCTCTTTTTCATTGACGATTTCACCGATGTTGCTCTCTTTGAAAACGAGAAGCCCTAATCTTTGGTATGTTGCTCTCTTTGATTTCGTAGTTTCTGGGTTTTTGTTTTCCTCTCCGATGTGTCGTGAGATCGCTAATCGAATATCAGATTTCATATTGTTGTGTTGATTGATTCTAGTGTTTTGATTTCAGAAATTTGATTTCTTAATCGCCATGCCTTGTTCTTTCGATCTAAATGGGATTAATTGGATTGTGTCCTTGTTAGTGTTTAGTCTCTCTTAGGTTTTTGATGTTCTGTAACAGGAAGCATTCTCTTTGGTCAAAGACATTAGAATCACAGAACATTTGAGTATCTCTACTGCAGTTCATATGGTATCCATTTCTTGATATCGGAGCTTCCATTGCTTTGTTTCTCGTATCTATCTGCCTATTCAAAGATGGTTTTATGTGGTAGATTGTACAAGTTTTGATTAATGACTGAGTTTGTTTCTTATCTGAAAATTGAAACTATCGTCTGATAGATTATCATGCTTATTTTATGGTATTGTCCTCATTATTATAAATTTAAAAGCAACCATACAGTGGCATATGGTTAATCCAAGACTCTGATGTATTGCAGCTTGTTCTAACTCCCGAACGTGCACATCTTCATTGCCATTGTTACTACTTTTGTCTTCAGTTCTGTAGCTTGTAACTAGGAGGTGATGTTTATGTTCTGCTATTTGTTTTTCAGTGTATGTCAAGTTATATATTTGAGTTATATATTTGCAACACAATTAGCTAATACACATTTTTTCAAAATTTAAAATTTTTAGATCCTCACTTTATGGATCTACCATTGGACTCTCTCAAAATTATAAAACATTCAAAGTGTCTAAGTTTCAAATTTTGTATTATTTATCATTATAAATAAGATTTGGACTCCTAATTTTAGATCCACCAATAATCATGCTCTTAGGCTTTTGATTGCCAATGAAACGATCTGTTGAATTGGATTATGCAATTAAGCTCTTGCTTTATTTTAAGCTTTATGGTCTTTGCTGAGAAATTGAAGCTACTTAGGAATTTGATTGGAAATGAAACGATCTGTTGAGTTGGATTATGCAATTAATTTCTTGTTTGTTCTGTTGTTCAAAGTTTATGGTCTTTGCTGGGAAATTGAAAGCTACATAGGGTTTTGATTGCCGGTGAAACGATCTGTTGAGTTGAATTATGAAATTTTGTATTAAAGAATCTCTCCTTTTTTCTTTAATTTCTAGGGCCCAGGCACTCAGATCGGGAGTTGCTGCTTCTACTCGCTGTAGTTCTCAGTTAGACTTTGGATTCCCTTTCTTGTTAGAAGCTTGCTGGATGAGTACTAGGAGAGAAATCATTGTTACGACCTCTCTCTCGGAAGAAATAGCTCAACACACTTTAGATGAAATTGAAAAACGTGTTGAAGTTGGAATAAGCCCCAAAACTAAAGAGGAGGCCAAACAAGTAATATCGTCTCTTACAACCTGCTTGGAGGAGAACAAAGTTTTGTTAAAAGATGCAGCTGTAGCATTGGCTGAGCTTAGAGCCTCAATGTCTCAGCCCGATGAATATGTTACTATGGAGAAGATAAGAAACGCAACAAAGGTTCTCCAGAGGTTATAAATCCAAAACTTTGTTTGATTGTTCTATTATGTTTTCCTTGCTCCTATATAACATATGTTTAGCTCATAAGGTTTCGTTTTCCCCAGTCTCAACTATAATAATAATACTGAAATTTTCCATTCTCCTTGTCAATAAACGGTTCTTCATTTTTACGAACTTCTCAAATAATGTAACTGACATTTATCTCAGGTTTACACATGTTTACACAAATACTCACCGAGTCGCTGTTAGATGTCTTCCATACCTTCTCGAGCAACATAATATAGAGAGTTCATTGAAATTGAAATTCGCATATAATCTGATATCATCATTATACTCGGTTAACCATTGAAATTTTGTATAAAAATAGAGAGTTCAAAATGACAATATAAAAATTGTACTATGCCGACAAAATTTTTTTTTACTATATGATATGATTGAAAATTTGAATGAATATGCAGACAACGATTAATAATTTCTTAAGTATCAAAATATGAAACTAATTATGTAGTTTAGGGTCATTAGAATCAGAAACAACATTTAATAAAAATTATGGTAAGAGTTGTTATCATATTCAAAAAGAGTTTTAATTTGGATAACTTGAGTATAATATTAAATATTATTAAATCTAGTTGTATTAAAAAACAATATGTATAAGAAAAAACATAATATTAAACATTATTAATTTAGTAAGTTTAGATATGCCATGTATTTTTAGATCTTAAATACTCGGACCCGGTCCGGACCCGATATAGACCCGAAAAATTATAGGTATTTTACAGGTATTGGAATTATATACCCGAACCGACCCGGACCCGATAAGAACCAACCCGGAACCGACCCGAAAAATTATAGGTACATGTATGAGTCTAAATTTCTAGGACCCGAAAGACCCGGACCCGACATGACCCGACCCGACCCGAACTCGACCCGAAAATCCGGATGCCCAGGCCTAATTTAAGTAAAATAAATTCTAAAATAAAAATATTAATTTACCAAAATTCATTTGCGACATAGGTGCATTCAAAGAAGGATATCTTTGCAACCATGAGGAGTTTGACCGTGAACCACTTCCTATATATTCTCAACTCAACCAGAGCACGCGGCGAATTGGTTTTAGGCTATCTACACTGCATCCGAACTGGTTCTATTTAAGGAAAGTAATTCTTTCCTTAACGAGTATGCAACTCAGAGGATAACGGCCCGGCCCGATTAGGCGTAGCATCGACTCAGCTCGGTGGCTCATAAATGTGTGAAGTGTTGGTTAATGTCTAGTAGTCTAGAGTTGTTATTTGAGTTGGTAAGAATTATTATTTGAGTTGGTAAGTAGCTTTCATCATTCCTAATCATCGCAACAGACAAAATAAACCAGACAAAACAAACCAGATTCTCAACTCAAACTTCTGTGTCTTAAACATCAGAACCAGCGTCCATTTACTCATATGTGGCAAACGTGAACCTGTCTGGACTATAAACTTTGCGTCCACCCTGGGTTATATATGGCTTCTTCCTTCCATTTCCAAGTTGATTTGGTGTCCTGAGTGCAACCTGCTCATTACCCACCAGCCTCTCAAAGAAATAAGTCACTCTCTCTTGCCTCACATAGACCTTCAATGGCTTCTGATGAAGCTGTAGCTGACCGTCATCTTCTTGGTTCGCTCCCGTCTGTTCCGGCTCGTCGAGAGACTGAAAAGCGGGGGAATATGAAGGCTGTAAACTCTGATTCTCTTTTTCTCTTTTTCTTTTTCTTGTGCCAGGATTCTCTTCATTAACAACTCGGTTGCGTTGATCGCTTTGGTAGAGATTGTCCTTGTCTTCTGCCTTGTCTTCTTCATCCTCATCCTCATAAGGTAATACACTGTCCTTTGGCCAGACAATGTATGAGCCAACTGCATTACTTAGCATCTCAACGTCATCTTTTGGTTCCCAAACAGGTATGTCTATCTTGACCTCAGAAACTGTCACAACAACTTCATGAGGCTTCACGGGTACACTGTGGATAACTAAACGGCTTGGATCTCTAACCCCTATTGCAACAACATCCTTACTACCATTAGGGTTGATCAAGTAGCACTTCAAAATCTCACGCGTTCCCTTCTGCTTTCCTGCGTCAATCACGGGAATAGTAGGAGAACGAGACGCTGAAGGGTGCATGGGAGTAACATTCGTTAGAACTTCGCGAGCAAAATGATCCGTTCCACCTACAGTCCCTAGAGACTGAAAAGCGGGGGAATATGAAGGCTGTAAACTCTGATTCTCTTTTTCTCTTTTTCTTTTTCTTGTGCCAGGATTCTCTTCATTAACAACTCGGTTGCGTTGATCGCTTTGGTAGAGATTGTCCTTGTCTTCTGCCTTGTCTTCTTCATCCTCATCCTCATAAGGTAATACACTGTCCTTTGGCCAGACAATGTATGCGCCAACTGCATTACTTAGCATCTCAACGTCATCTTTTGGTTCCCAAACAGGTATGTCTATCTTGACCTCAGAAACTGTCACAACAACTTCATGAGGCTTCACGGGTACACTGTGGATAACTAAACGGCTTGGATCTCTAACCCCTATTGCAACAACATCCTTACTACCATTAGGGTTGATCAAGTAGCACTTCAAAATCTCACGCGTTCCCTTCTGCTTTCCTGCGTCAATCACGGGAATAGTAGGAGAACGAGACGCTGAAGGGTGCATGGGAGTAACATTCATTAGAACTTCGCGAGCAAAATGATCCGTTCCACCTACAGTCCCTAGCCCCTGTTCTCTTTCCTCTTCTCTTTTCTCGATATTAGACTGAGACGGATTCAGAAGACTTTTTCCCACTTCCGCAACCCTCTGGTCAATTCTCCGGTAAAGCTGCCGTTTAAGGCGATTCATATATCTGTCATCTTTTTTTCTTGGCACTGCTTTCTGAACTTGACCTCTTCTCCCAACTTGAGCTTCTTTATCATTTTCTTTCGTCGTCATTTCTATTTCTCGATTTGACACATCTCTATCATAGAGATCTTCCCAACACACGACCTGATTATCTCTTAGAGCAGCATTCCAGGTAACTCTTCTGTCAACATAATCAGCGTTTTCAACTATGTTGGCCACAAGATGTTGTTCATCTGCTTCAGGTTCCAAGATACTCTGAATTTCCTATAAAAATAGTTACAAAATTTATGGCCTTACTGTGTATTTCCTATTAAAATAGTTTCCAGAACCAATATGTTGGATTGAGAAGAGAATAGGTTGAGAAGCTCGACTAACCTTGGTTTCGTCAAGATGCTTATATATGCGCTCTAGAGGAAAACCTCTGAGATCGTAGTCAACGAAATGACTTTTGCACATTCGAGGACATGCATTATTTGCTTCCGCTACAACTTTTAGATGTGAATTCTTCAGGTTTGGAATGCTCTCAAACGCCAAGCGCTGCAAATGACTCAAAAGATTAGAAAAAAAAATCTATGCAAACCAGAAAAATTCTAAAGAGATAAGAAAAGTATATACCTCCAAACCAAGGTAGAATCCCTCAAAATAAAATGAAGTATTCGGAATGCCTTTCTGGTTTTCTACGTAGTTTCGGATTTTTGCAACACAGTTCTTAAACGTATAGCTTCCCCAAGGAAAGCGTCTACAAAGAGGCAGATCATCAACTATGTTTACCAAAAAGTCATCTATTTTTGTAGTCTGTTTCTTCTTTCCGGCGATAACAGATGTCAAGAAGTACAAGACAGAGGAAGTTCAAGGAGTGCTGGAACACTGTCATGGTTCTGCTTATGGTGGTCACTTTGCTACCTTCAAGACAGTACAGAAGGTTCTTCAAGCCGGCCTTTGGTGGCCTTCCATTTTTAAAGATGCATATGGATTCATTGCTAAATGTGATCCCTGCCAAAGAATGGGGAACATCACCAGGAGGAATGAAATGCCACAGAACCCGATCCTAGAGGTGGAAGTCTTTGATGTGTGGGGAATTGATTTCATGGGACCATTCAATCCTGCTTCCTATGGTAATAAGTACATCCTAGTTGCTGTGGACTACGTCTCCAAATGGGTTGAGGCCATTGCATCTCCAACTAATGATCATAAGGTTGTCTTAAAGCTGTTTAAGAGCATCATATTCCCCAGATTTGGTATCCCTAAGGCCGTGATCAGTGATGGAGGCTCTCATTTTATCAACAAGGTCTTTGAGAGTCTGTTAAAGAAGCACGGTGTAAAACACAAGGTAGCTACTCCCTATCATCCTCAGACTAGCGGGCAAGTAGAAGTATCCAACCGTCAGATCAAGGCCATACTTGCAAGAGTTGTTGGTGTTTCAAGGAGAGACTGGTCTACCAAGTTAGACGATACACTTTGGGCGTACCGGACTGCATACAAGACGCCAATTGGAAGGACTCCATTCCAGATGCTGTACGGGAAGTCATGTCATCTTCCAGTTGAGATAGAGTACAAAGCAATCTGGCTACTAAGTTGCTGAACTTGGATATCAAAGAAGCTCAAGAGAAGAGATCGGTTGACCTGCACGAACTTGAGGAAATAAGGCTTGAAGCTTATGAGAGTTCAAAGGTGTACAAGGAAAGAACAAAAGCTTTCCATGACAAGAAGATTGCACCAAAAGACTTCAAGGCTGGAGACCAAGTGTTGCTGTTCAACTCCAGACTCAAGCTATTTCCGGGAAAGCTCAAATCAAGGTGGTCTGGTCCTTTCACTATCAAAGAAGTTCTCCCATTTGGTGCGATATCGCTATTTGCTAAGGACGGGTCAGAGTTTAAGGTGAATGGTCAGCGACTTAAGAAGTATCTCGCGGATAGCGTCATTCCTGAAGGATCTACAGTCCATCTTCAGGAACCTCAACTCGCCTAAAAGAGTAGTAAAGTCAAGCTTAGTGACTTTAAACAAGCTCACTTGGGAGGAATTCCCATGTTTATCTTTGTAAATAGCTCTTTATCTCTTGTTATTTTTGATGTTTTTTTTAGTGTCTGTGATTCTCAGGATTTAATCTGTTGGAGTCAAGAAAATGGAAGAAGGGAGCAGACTCGATGTGCCCTACTCGACTACAAGTCGAGCTTGCCCCTTGGTGTCACTCCAAACCAAAACCGAAGCCCTACTCGATGTACCTGCTCGATGAGACGTCGAGTTACCCATGAAGCCCACCAGTACCAGGTCAATTACCTCCTTCTTCACCCATCCATGAGGTAACAACTCCAATTCACCATTGTATATACCACATTTCATTTTGTTTCTCTGTTGGTTTGCCCTGAGTACTCTCTTCCAAATGCTTGTTACACAGAGGACTGTGTAATTTAAGTTTGGGGGAGGGCTCAGGGAGTATTTGACATCGTGTTTTGTTTTCTTATTTCAAATTTTGCATCATTGCATCTAAGGCATAGAAAAACCATAAAAATTTGAAATTTTTCGAAAATGATTCCACAAAAACAGAGTGTTCATATAGCTTGCATTGTCATTTTAGGATTGTTTTAGTATGTTTTCACTTAGGGCTGCTGCATCATGCATTTGCATTGGAGATTATGATGATTATAACCTTGTAAATATGCATATTCACTAAGTAGAACTCAGTGCCCTGGTTGTTAGTTCTCTAATGCATAATCGACTGAACTTGAAGTAAGACCGCACCATCTCTTGAATTCAACGCTTGATTTTCTTGTTCTTAGTCGAATCTCGCTTTGATCTGATGCCATTCCCTATCTATTTGAACTTGAATTTTGACTTATAATTATCATGCTGTGCATTGTGCTATGAACTCATGGATACCTTAAAATACTTGGACTTTCTTTTACCTTTTGATCACTCTTGCTAGTCCAAGTAGCTGACTCCCATCTTTGGAGCAGTTATTCCCCACCCTTAGCCTAAACCTTCTTTCAAGTGAATGTGAGGCCTTATTCCGATTGAGCTTGGTAGAAAGTGTTAGGTCTGTAACGACAAGGATAGTATCTCATGTAGTTCTGGTTCACGCTATCTGGACCAGATAGGACTAGGTGGGTGCTTAATTCTGGGTTTGGGATGTTCTTAAAAGAAAGAAAAGGTTGTGTTCATCATTGAAAGAAAAGAAAAGGGAAAAGAGTCCTAAGGAGAAGTAGCTAAAGTAAGAAAAGTCTAGTAAAGGATTTGGGAATGTTATAAAGTAAAGAAAAAAGGGTTCTGTAATAGCTTAAAGAGAATGGGGTGAAAAGCCTTATGTTATAAGAAGAAAGAAAAGGGAACCCTAGTTGTTAAAGTATCCTAATCCGCTAGACAGAGCAAAGTAAGAAAGCTTCTCCTAGGATAGAAAAGCAGAGAAAAGAAAGGAATGGTGTGAGTAAAGGTTTGTGAATGCTTTGAATGCAAAAGGGTAGAGTTAAGTTCATGTTCTGGGATTAGAAATAGGACCTCCATTTGGGTTGATATTGGTTACATTCTGGGTAGATGGGGTTCTATCCTTGTATGCATAACTTGATACTCACCTTTAGCATTCTACTAAAGCTCAATCATTCTTGAGAGATCCCCTGTTATGATTTAAACCAGATCTTTAAGGGACCATCTTTGTCTCTAGACCTTTACCCTTAAGCCAAATGTGTTCTTATCCAATGCATAGTGTGATTCACGGTTCCTACTTAATCAATGTTAAAGGGAATGTGCTGATTTGAATGCTTGAATTGATTAAGGCAGAGGTTAGGTTGAGATGTGAAGGAGATGGCTAATGTTTTTAAGTAGAGATCAGTCAACCTTGCATTCTAGAATTAGCAACCTGGACATTGAATTCACTTACTCTATATGCATGTTTTGGTTCTGAGTCTCCACCTTCAAACCTCTTCTCCAGCTTAGTTCTATTTGTTTGCTTGAGGGCAAGCAAGAGCTAAGTTTGGGGGAGTTGATATCTCTGTATTTTACCACTTTTTAGCACACATTTCTTATGCATTTAGCTTAGTTTCCTCTCTGTTTCATTGCATTCATAGTCCTTTTCCTTCTCTTTTCATTACTTAGCTCGATTTGCATTGCATCGCACAGCATATTGCATATTTGATGTTTTTCAGGTACTTTGGAGCTTATCTTGGGACTTATTGGAGCAAGGAGGAGCCACACAACCTTGGAACTAGACTTGGGATCGAGTTGGAGAGGAATGAAGCCAATCGAGAGCATCCAGAACGGTC